ACGTAGAGTCTGTTTTTTTATTATTGAAAGCCCTTTTATGTTCTGCTATACATTTGATAAAATTTCTACCAGTTTGACCGATGTAAGTTTTTGAACAGCCGTCAGTAAGTTCAATAAAAAGTAAAAGGCAAAATAATCGCTAACTTTCTAACATTTCTAACGTACTCATTTCATATACTTATTTTTGGTTAGCATTTCTTTAGGAACATACAGCGAATGTTAAGAAAATGTTTGCAGTTTTACACAAAAAATATCGTGGCTTCGTAATCTACGTGAATGGTTCGGGTGTAGTTCGATTGAACTTTTTAGGCGCGCTGCTAACAAAGTCGCAGTGGCCATGATGATTTCCAATCTCCGCTAGGAGTGGCACGAGAAGAAGAAGAAGACATACAAGTATGTAGCTTGAAAAATACAAAAGCTATTACAACTGTCTATAAGTAAAAAACATTTTTTCAAACGTTGATCTTGCAAACAATCTCGATGAAAACGCAATATTCATTTAACCTCTGAGACAGTCCAAATCCCAAAGAATCCCATGAAATTTGCTGTGTCTAGCATCATTAGCAGAGCAAGTTCAACAGTTCAAACATCTAGCCTCAGAGACAAATAAATTAAAATAACTTTTAAACTATTTGGCCGATCGGAGGGAAATTTCGCTCAAATTCAAAAAACAGTCCTCGAAAAAAATACCTCGATGTCAAATGCACTAATAACATTTCGTTCTATCAATAAAAAAATTAATAAAATTTGTAAATAAGTGCAAAAAAACTGCTTTTGCGCAAATATCTCCGTCAATTATTTATCAATTTTAATTTAAAAAACGGGAAAATAAAGACATTCTTGTTATACAAAATATTGTTTATGTAAAATATCAGGGAAAAAACTAGACCAACAATTAAATTGTGGCCATAAATTATTGTTTAAAAAACCGCAAGGCAAAAATATCAGCACTCCTTCAACTATTCGTCATCTCATAAATAAAACAAAATCAACTCAAATAACATTTACCAACCGTCACAATATATGCCCACCTGTAAGGATGGAAAATATAAGAATACCAACAGTAACAGACGCTAAATACCTTGGCCTCCATCTTGACCAACGACTCACTTGGAAGAAACATATCCAGACCAAAAGAAGGCAGCTCGACTTAAAATTCCGACAAATGTATTGGCTTCTTGGACGTAAATCAAAACTTAACATCCAAAACAAAATTCTTCTATACAAAGCCATACTCAAACCTATCTGGTTCTACGGACTACACCTATGGGGCTGTGCAAAACCAACGTCGCTGAATATTATCCAAAGATTCCAGTCTAAAGTACTAAGATCGATAGTGGATGCGCCATGGTACGTAAGTAACCAAACACTCCATAATGACTTAAAGGTTCCTTTCATCAGAGAAGAAATTCATCGAGCCACGGAGTCACAAAATGAACGTACCATTCACCACGAAAATGAGCTAGTAAGGGAACTATACAACAATGGACCAGCCACAAGAAGATTACATAGAACCTGGCCTCAAGACCTTCTTCAGAACTAAACCAAAGTAGAATAAGGTGAGACATCATTGGATGTCTCTCCTTCACGCGCAAAACCTGTAATCACATTTACTTAATACTCTTTTTTTGATGTAGATTGTAAATAAACATAATTATAATAAAAAAAAAAAGTTTTACACAAGACAAATCTAAATGGACAAATACAATTTTTTTATGAAAAACGGTGAAAATTGTAGTGCTATATTTGATTTAATTTAGCTGTATTACTTTTTACATCATGTAGAAGTTTCATTTTGGTGTGTTAAAAAGCCCCCTTTTTACGTAAGAATTATCAAAAATTGCTGCTGGTCACGACCTAAAATTGCATCGTATTTTTTTACCTTATCAGTATATTTAAACTCCAATGTAGTAGGTACGTGATTCAGATATAAATTAAGTCAATTTATAAATTATTCTATTACTTAACTATTTAACTACTTTTAAAGTATTGTAAAATGAGTCCAAAAGTCAAATACTATTTTAAAATATTTGGCATCTACCTTTTTCGGAAAATTCGCTGCTGTACTTTGTTATTTTGTATTTTATCTTAGGTTTACCATTCCAAAAACCAATCTTGTATTCTGTTTAGATTCGTTTGAAGGAGATGTGAGACATAAATAGGATCAGCATGTGAGGTTAGGATTGCAGTATCATCGGTAAATGTTCCTAGCATTACTTCTTGTGTAGGTTGTCCCTCCTCTAATGGTTCCTGAACAGTTGTAGATATATCTTCTTCTTCTTCAAGTGCCCTGTCCGTTCCGAACGTTGGCTATCAACATGGCAATTCTGATCTTATTTGCGGCGCTTCTGAAGTAAGTGTGTCTTCTTCTGTCTGGCCATCGCTTACTGTCTATTTTTCCCTGGACAATCAATTGTAGCAGACTGTACTTATCGTGTCTCAATATGTGGCCTAGATATTCAAGCTATCTTTGTTTAATTGTATTCACGATTTCTTTCTCCTTTCCGATTCTTTGGAGTACCTCTATGTTGTTGACATGTTCGGTCCAGGATATACGAAGAATGAGTCGGTACACCCACATTTCGAATGCTTCTAATTTTCTGATGAGCGTGAGCGTAGATATATCTGCGGTAAACAAATACAAGGTAGGTCTCAACACTCTACCCTTTGGTACGCCAGCTTTACTAGAATAGAGTTTGAAAGTTGCATCTTGATTCTTGTAGTCAATGAGGCATGCAAAAACATTACAGCTGACATCTCTAGTTTTCTGAAACAATACCTGCACGCTAAATAAAGCTTCTTTCGTACCACCGGCGTTCACACATCCAAACTGGTAGGGCGCAATTTTTTCTCGCATTTCCGATAAATTCTTTTGTTGATGACTTTTAAAAACAGCTTCAACAGATGACTCATTAGACTTATGGTCCTATAGTCTTCACAAACTTTTGCTCTTGATTTTGGGGGCAGTGGTATGAACTCCGTTATTATTTTTATTTTTTTCTGCATCTAATAGTTTCAGCAGTTCTGCAGGAATTTCATAAAGTCCTGATGCCTTTCCATCCTTCATTTGTCTGATGGCTGTCAAAAGATGATCCGCTTTAATTAGACTGTGGTATCTGATAGGTTAGGTTTAAAAGCCTCATCGAAAAATGTATAGAGTACAATAAACCCCTCGTCCTAATATTTGTGAATTATGAGAAAGCATTCGACACAGTAAACCACCAGAAAATGCTAGAAGCTTTAAAAGAGTGCCGAATAGATCACCGCTACACCACTGTCATCAAAAATATCTATGATAATGCCACGGCATGCGTCAGACTCCATGAAGATACACACAAGTTCAACATTCATCGTGGAGTTCGCCAGGGCGACACCATTTCACCAAAACTGTTTACAACATTATTGGAATACATGTGTAAGCGTGCAAACCTAGACGAAAAGGGCATAAACATAAATGGAGAGCAGCTTAGTCACCTCAGATTCGCGGACGATATAGTCCTGATAACAGACCGCATAGATCATGCCAACGAAATGTGCGAAAGACTCTACCATGCCTCTACACAAGAGGGTTTAAAGATCAATAACTCAAAAACACAAGTGACGACAAACCTTGTTCTGAGTGAGAACATCAACATAGCTGGAACAAGTATAGAACAAACATCAGCATACAAATATCTGGGACACGAAATTCGCTTAAGTAGAGATAACCAGACCAATGAACTAATACGTAGAATAGGGTTGACATGGGCAGCTTATGGAAAGCTAAGAGATGTTTTCCAATCAGCTCTTCCCATCTGCTTGAAGAGAAAAGTCTTCGATCAATGTGTGCTGCCGGTTCTAACCTATGGTGCGGAGACGCTAACACTTACTAAGACGTCCGCAAACAAAATTCGAACAACACAGAGGGCAATGGAACGGTCTATGTTGGGATTAACCCTGAGAGACCGAATACCCAACACAGAATTGCGCCGTAGATCGGGAGTAACCGACGCAATCAAAAGAATATCAACCTTAAAATGGAACTGGGCAGGGCACGTCGCGAGAACGAAGGACGACAGATGGACAAAACGCATTCTTGAGTGGAGACCCAGACAAGATGCCTTTAGAAATAGAGGACGACCACCAACAAGATGGACGGATGACCTGAAACGGACACATCAAAATTGGATGCAGGCTGCTCAGGACAGAAATTTGTGGGGTGAACTACGAGAGGCCTATGTTCAGAAGTGGACGAGTATGGGCTGAATGATGATGATGATCTGATAGGAGTCAAGAAACCAAAAAGACGTCCAAATTTAAGATGAGACTATGACATAAGGAAACAAGCCGGTACAACATATTACAGAAAAGCGAATATCAGACAATCGTGAGCAGAAACGAAGAACGATAATGTGAGAGAGGCTGCACTATAATCAGTAGAATACGCTGAGAATGATAATGATGATGATGATGATCTTAAGGTAGGTAACTTTTTTGTGTAAAGTGAGTTTTAGATACTAGCAGTATATCCATTTTGTGAAGATATTGAAAGTATTTAATGTCCTGTGTTTGTTGTGATAAGCCATTGGCGTTCCATGCAGCTCGTTTTAGAAATGCCGCCATCTTAGGGGTTTTAGCAATGAAAGCAATTAAGAGATTTAATATTGTGCTCATTTGCTTTACAAAGTCTTTAATCATATATTTAAGTTCGAGCATGTCAGTGGATTGTTGAAGACTGGGGGCTGTATTTAATGGTACCTGATTACCATGCTATGAATTAACTCTACAAAAAGATATGATCGACTTTATTTTTGCATGACTTAAGTATGTTTAGTATATTTTTGTATTTGATCTTGTTTCTTATCTAATCAAATTACGGACACTTTTTTTAAGCAAATTATATTAAAATGAACAAAAAAAGTGCAAATTATCGTTTGTTTCAGTCATTAATTAATACGTACTGATACGAGTATATAAACTCATTGAACAATTAAATCGGTATTAGTTGATTACTGGTTATTTGTACATGTTAATTGTACCAGTAGCATTTATGCGACTAAACTGCTGGTTGATAATTCAAAAATTATTGTCATAAGAGTACGTTACAGTAAGTTTTTAATTTACTTTCTTAGTTCGAGTCTTTGTGTTCTTTTAATAGAAAATTAACTAAAATTAATTCTTTACTGATACATTGTGTTGCAGTTTTATTTTCTTTTTTATATTTTTTTCTTTTTGTTATAATATAACTTATAGTAGTTATTTTTAAATAGAGGCCACTCTCTCTTATAAATTTTAGATACGTTTTTTATGTGAAGTTCATATAGTTTAATAGTTCTAATTGATACAATACAAAACCATGCTAGTCCATTGAAATGTTACATTGTTTATGCCTTGTTATGTAAATATAAATTTAAGTTCAAGTTTGTGGTGTCGTCACATTAGTCCTCCAGCCACCATCAAAATTTTATCAGACATTATTGGTAGCAAATTTTCTCCAACTCTATTTCTATTACTGTTAATCGAAAAATGGAAAATAAAAAATTTATAAACAAAAAGAAATAAAATTGTTGGAACAAATTTTTTTTTGGCCCCTATATTGGAAACTTTTCAAAGTGAATAGCATATCCATTTACAAACATAATGTCTTGAAACCCTTTGCACAAAAAGAGTTCTTCTTCTCAGAGTGCCGTCTCCCTAAGGAGGTTTACAATCATAATGGCTATTTTTATTTTTGAACTTGCTGCTCTAAACAAATCAATCGATCTGTATTGATACCAATCTCGTAGCTTCTTCAACCATGAGTTCTGGCTTCGGCCAACAGATCTTTTTTGTTGAATCGTTTTCTGTATTATGAGTCTCAAAATTTCATATTTTGGTCCACTCATCACGTGAAATGGGTATTCCACTTTTCTGGTTTGTATAGTGGTGATTAGTTCTGTTTCTTTACCAACCCTCTCCATTTCTTCTTTATTTGTAATTCTATCAGTCCATGATAATTTTAATACTCTGCGGTATAACCAGAGTTCTAAAGCCTCGATTCTTTTTAAATTGCATTTTTTTAGTTTAATGTCCAAGTCTTAGCTCCATATAATAATATTGAAAATATATAACAGCGAATGGTACGTAGTCTAATCTCCAAATTTGGATTTTTACACGTTAGGAGTGGCTTCATTCGTAGAAATTCTGATCTGACAATCTCTCTTCGCCTGTTTATTTCTGTAGTATGATCATTGGTTTCATTGATCAAAGTTCTTAAGTACTTATATTTTTCTACCTGTTTTATCACGTTACCATTGATTGTCAATATGTGATGTATATTTTGTGGTCTTTTTGTAATTAGCATGTATTTATTTTATTTAGCGTGTATAGTAATTCCCATCTCAGAACTATTTATACTTAAGTTTTCGATAAGATGTTATAGATCTTATATACTCGTTGCTTTGATCACAGTTTCTTCTGCATATCGTAAGTTTGATAATTAATTTTCCATTAACGGTAACTCCTGCTATGATATTATTGGGCGTGTTTTGAAAAATTTCTTCAGAATATAAGTTAAATAAAAGTGGCGATAAAAAACATCCCTGTCTAACTCCTTTACAGATATCCATTTCTTCTGAGTGTTGCCCATCAATTTGAACTATGACACTTTGGTTCCAATATAATGTTTGCACTATATTTATGCTTTTACTGTCAAATCGCTTGTTCAAAAGTATTGATATTAGTTTTTCATGTCTTACTTTATCGAAAGCTTTTTCGTAGTCAACAGAGCGCAAGTGTATATTAACTTTTACATCCCAACATTGCTGAATCAATATGTTGATAGCAAATAGTCCTTCTCTAGTATCTATTCCATTTCAGAACCCGAACTGGCTCAGTGTTCGATAATCAGAGCATTCTTTTGATGCTTGTTTTTTAGGGATGCTTATAAAACTTTAGAGTTTTTGATAGCATACTTGATTTCATCTATCGTGATCTTCTGTCTCTCTTCACCTAGTACTCCTTTTTTGTCTTTTTTTGTCCTTGCTATCTATTTCGACCCATTCCAGTCATTTCTCTTATTTTTTTGTACGTATTTCTCATATCATATTTTGTTTCTAGATCTTCTATCTCTTTACATTGTTTCATCAAATAGATTTCCTTAGCTGTTTTGATTTTTTCCTTAATTATTCGTTGTATTTCTTTATACTTCTGTAGATATTTTTCTTTATATTTCATTCTTTCTTAGATCTCTAATAGTATTTCTTATGTTGTCCACTGTTTTTTAGCCTTTGACTTATGTTGTATCAAACTTTCTTGAGCTTGTTTAAGTAATGTGTTTTTTATATTATACCACTTTTTATTTATATCCATAATTTGTTTGTTGTCAGTTAGTGTTTTTTGTATATTAACATTCACATTATTTTTTAATGCGTTTTTTAGCATTCTTACATTTATTTTTGGATGTTGTTTTTTGGGTTCAATTCTTCTTAAATTTCATTTTCACGTCAGAAACTAACGGATTGTGGTCTGAGTTAACATCTGCTCCAGAATAAGTTTTAACTGAGGCTATAGAGTTTTTATATCTGCTATTTACGAGTATAAAGTCTTCTCTTAGGAAGCTGAAACCAAGTATTGGCAATTACCATATTCTTGTCTTGACAGAATTCTATGAACCTTTCTCCTCTCTCGTTTCTATCTCCCAATCCGAATTGTCCAACTATGTTTTCAACTGTACCTACTCCAATTTTTTCATTAAAGTGTCCTAAAATGTAAGTAATGTCTCTAGATTTTGTTAACTTGATTATATTGTCCAATTCTGAATCAAACTTTTTGATCTCATCTTCGGTCTTATCAGCTGTGGGAGTATAGACTTGGATCATATTAATATTACAGTTCCGTGCTTGAATTTTTAGCATTATTATTCTTTCTGAGATTTGAATCACACCTACCACTGATTTTTTAATAGTGTTTCTTATGATGAAAGCTACTCCGTATCGATGATCAGTTTTGTCTCCTCCAGTGTAATAAATATTGTGGTTATTTATCTCTCCATTTTCTGACCATCGCTAACCCCAAGTATATCTATATTTAGTATACCTTTCTCTTTACTAACATTATGTAGTTTTCCAGGCTGATGCATATTTCTTACATTCCAGGTAGCCATTTTTATCTGAGAGGATTGAGTATTTTTTTTTGTTTTTTTGTGCAAGGGTTTCGCATGTTGACCGAGGAGGCCTTGCATTCTGATGGTTGTCCTCAACTGCCGGATTTTGTCTCTTGCCTCTTGCTAATTGAAGGAAAAAGAGCCCCAGGACGAACAAGAATATCCTGGCTTGCTAACCTGAGAGCATGGTATAGAAAGACCTTAACACAGCTATTTCGTATAGCAACTAACAAAATCATCATAGCCAGAATGATCGCCAACGTTCGGAACGGACAGGCATCCTAAGAAGAATAACTGGAGCAGCCAGCCTAAAATCTCATAAAATCTGGTAGAAATCATTATGGGCTACCTGGGCCTGATTGCATATCTACACTTTTCAGAGAAACCTCAAACAACAATTTAAATTGAGCGGATTTGAAACCAGACTCAATGTAAGGGTATCGTCTCGTATAGCAGTTAAGGTTTATGACCAAATTATACACAGTTTGCAGCTAACAATTTGTATTTAATGCCATTACATTAAGGAGTTTATAAACTTACATTTAAAGAGTTTTTTAACACTGAACAAATCAAAACTAATATAATAATATATTCCTACAACAACTCCTACTACTACTAACAAAATTCTTCATGAAAAACTAACTGCAAATTGAAAAATAAGATTAGTAAAGAAGCGTTTATAATCTCATATAATGTCCTACAAATGCTGCAATTATTTCACATTCAAAAACCCTCTTTTAGAAATAACTTTTGATTCTTCAATTGCACCAATAACGTCATCCCGATCGTATTTGCAAATATCTGCTTTATCTGGCCACTTCTAAGATTTCAAAGATTTCTGCATCGATGGAATTTCAACCTTGTCATCTGTAACGCTTAAGAGTTTTCCTGGAAAAGACTGTTCTTCATACTCAAAGATTACATAATCACCAACTTTTTGTTAAGGCCCAGTTGTTGAAAATTCCCACGAGTCTGCTCATCAATATTATTTAACAACATTTCAAATTTCTTTTCGCTGTCTAAATATCTTTCATTTTCTTCTACAATATCTTGCAAATCAACATCATTACTACTTTCTATTATACAATCAAAACTGTTCTTTTTCTTATAGCTTCTCTCTACTTCTTTTAGCTTTCGATATGACCTTTCTTTATATATATATATATATATATATATATATATATATATATATATATATTTTAATTTCTTTCATTTTTTCTTTCTCCTTTTGTTTTTTTTATTAGATAATATTTGCAGGTAATATTTTCACAGTTAGTGACCAGTCTTTTTCGTTTCTTCCCTAAATTATGTAGTCCTTTATCTTTTTTCATAATTTTTAACAACAATTCTATCTAAACAGGGCTATCGTTTTCTACTTGAACTTCATTTGCAGAACTAGTTTCTGTTTTTTCAACCATTCCAAAGGTAGAGATGGAGATTTCTGGCTGTTCTATTAGGATTAAAGCGTTCGAGACATCTGATTGTACCGTATCTGAAGAAGTATGGGATGCTTGTTGCCCAACTTTTGAATAATTGTAGTCTTCTTAATTTCCAGTGGCTATAACAGGACTCTCATCTGGTTGTAGTGATGCTGAAGATGTATGCCTACTGTTTTCTGATTGTACTGTGGCTGAGGAAGTCACACTGAAGTCAGACTAAGTGTTGGACATTTAAAGAAACAGTTTCTTCCGAGTGTACTGTATTGGGATAGGGAAGATTGATGCACCCGTGATGCCATTTTTAATATCCTCAATTGCCCTATCAAGGTATTCCGTGGTATATGAGAAGCCAGCATCTCTCTGAGTTTTTCTTATGTACGTTTGTACCATTTTCTGAAACAAAAACCATCTGATATAACCTAGGCTTTGAAAAAGTAAAGGATAGAAAAAAGATTTAGGTCCTGAGGTCCTGAGGGATAAATGGACCAGGCCGTGGCCCAGTTTCTCCCATATAGGTTCAAGTTACCCCAAACAAGCAAACGCTCTCGGGGTAACTGCACCACCCATTCTAACCTCAAAGCTAATAAAATAAGCAGTTTATAGAATATTAATTAATAATTTTACACTAAAATACGTGGTAAAAACACTTACCTTGATAATCAAAACAATAATGTAAATCACAAGCACGCGACGTTGATTTCATAAAAAATAACTACGAATTTAAATCGGACTTCTTTTTTTCTTGTTTGAATACCGTTCCCAAGTGTTAGGCATGGGTAGCTTCCATGACGATTTACCGATATCGTTCTCGATCTTGTGCGACATGTAATAATTCATCTGATAAGCCAGTCCATTGACGAAGGTTTCGGAGCCATGAGTATTTCTTTCTACCAATTCCTCTTCTTCCGTCGATCTTTCCGTTGAGTGTCAACTACATTATCCTGTATCTGCTTCCTCTCGTTATATGCCACAGATATTTGAGTTTTCTCTTTTTTTCTCATCTTTTGGACTTCTCACAGTAACCAAAAGTGCTATGAAGGTTACAATTGATGTTTTGAAGGAAAAGCACATTCTTGCAGTACAGCTAACAGAAATAAACTTAAATACATTTTCAGTTTAAGAATGAAACAGATATGGGCTAGACACCCTCTGGATCCAGTTGCCCCCATCACCCTTTTTAAAACACCAAAGTTATTATGCAAGGAAGTAACGACGTGCAACGAACGAGCATGCTAATTTCAAAATTCTAGTACTTAGTAATGTTTTTGTTTATGTTTATACAAACAACAACATTAGTTAATGAAGACTTCGGTAAAATATAAACTATAAATTAAATAATCAGGGAACATTAGGGCTCATTTTTAATTAGTTTGTTTTTCATTAAGTTATTATTCTAATAATGTTCTAAAACTGCTTTCTCGTGACATGTGGCAAGTTAAATATGTTTTGTAATTACTGTACTGAATTACATTTTAACTAAAAAAATTTTACGTTTTCTTTAACACACCTAAAAGATTATATTAATACGAATTTTGTTAAAAATAGTGTGTAACCGCCAAAGTTGTTGACGAGGTTATGTCATTTCACAAAATTGAGAATTGTCCCTTTTGGCCGCGCTGTTGTAGGCAGCAGCCTATAAAATATGACGGTGAAGTTTTTTCACACTATGGAATTTCAAATTCTGATTATTTTAAGTGTACTGCAGTAATAATATGCGTAATAAGCGTTTGTGTGCGTGAGAGATTGTTCGTGTAAGAAGACAAAAAAAAATGATTATAATTAGAAATAATTAACCAAATGCAAGTATATACTTACCTAGGTAGATGGAGAAAAAATCTAGCAAATCAAGCAACAAGTTTAAATATACTTGTGTTGTCTGCTACAAGATAGTTGGAAACCTGAGACTGAAATAAAGAACAGAGTAGAACAAATCAGAATGCTTTTTTGAAACTTCAAGGTTGGTTTTTAACCTGAGATACAAGATGCTATAGTAGATTGACTTAATCTCTGATAGGAAACGGAAACATGGATGTTAAAGACCAGATCCATTGACGGATTGAAGTTTTTGAAATATTGTGCTTGTGCCAAATATTTAGAATATTATAAAAGGACTTGTTCTGTCAAACTGTCTCAAACTATTTATTACTCATATCTGCTTCGCAATTTCTGAATATTCTTGCATGTATAATCTTTAAAAATGTATTTAGTTAGTGTGACATTAAGCTGATTAATCTATAGTCATTATAGTGTTTGGGGTTCTTATTTTTTGGTAGCGGAACAAAGGTCGATAGCAGTCATTCTGTTGGTATCTCCCCAGATTTGTATATGCTGTTAAAGAGTATAGTTATTGCACTTAAATTGGTCATCAATCATGATCATGCTTTTTCTATAATTCTTCCACTTCGATGCATGTTTCCATCATCCACTTTTTCTTAGTTTTTTTTATTTTGTTCCTTATTAATTTTTGTTTTTCTCTGTATTTATATGGGTTTTTGTTCCATGATTTCCGGTATTTCTTGAGTCATCCAAGGTTTTCGGCTTTCTGTTTTCTTTTGTGGAGTTTCTTTCTGTGTTTTTATAATATAATCTTTGATTTTGCTCCACATAATGTTCACATTCTTAGTGTTTTTTATTTCTCATGTTAATTTCTTCATTTCTTTTACCTTAGAACTTTTGGATTTTTAAATATACCCATTTATAAAGATTAACCTCTTTTTTTTAATACGTGGTATACAGCCAGCTGCAGGAATTATTTTCCTTGTGGATTTTTTTTTTGATTTTGTTATCTGTTTTACCCTCAATTTCATTTCTGAGACAAGGAGGTTACGGTCTGAGGGGACAGCTACTCCAGGAAAAGTCTTAACGCTTAAAATGGAAGTTCTAAATCTTAGATTGGTTAGAATAAGGTAGATCTGATTTCTAATGCAATTTTGTTCATTATCCTGCGGTGACCTCCAGGTATACAGTATACGGGGTGGTAATCAAAACCATGTATTCATAATCGCCAAGTTTTCTTCTTGACAAAATTGAGTCAATCTGTCGCCTCTAACATTTCTTATTCCTAAACCATATTGTCGACTCGGCCTTTTTTCTTCCTTTCTTGTGTATTGTAGAAGTTGTTTAAGTTGTTCATAAAAATTTTCTTTTAAAATTTCAGCTTCTGATTTATCTGCAGTTGGAGCATACACTTTTACTACATTAATGTTGACTATTTTGACTACACAAATTTTAACTGTTTTTATATTCTTGACCATTACATTCAGCCTTATAGATAGTGCCAGTGGATCTGTATTCAGAATTTAATTAGGTAATCAGGTAGAGGTGGATCCTGAAGAAATCCATGTAACTTTTGAAGATGTAAAAGGAGTAGATGAGGCTAAACAAGAACTAAAAGATGTAGTCAAATTTTTGATAAGTCCAGATAAGTTTTCAAAATTGGGTGGCAAGATACCGAAAGGAGTTTTACTAGTTATTATTTATTTATAAAACAATATTTGCAAGAGCTGTAGCGGGGGAAGCTGATATACCATTTTTTCATGAAGCCGGATCAGAAGTTGATGAAGTATTAGTTGAACAAGGTGCCAGAAGGGTTAGAGATTTATTTAAGTCAGCGAAATAACGTGTCCCATGTGTGATATTTATTGATGAAATCGACTAGGTTCAAAACGTACTATAATTGTTTTAAATCCATATGCTAATCAAACTATTAATCAACAGTTCTTAAAGCCAAATATTAATAAAAAACGTAACAACAACTGAAAACTCCACTAGATACGACACTGTCCCCACTTTGCAAAGAAACAAACAAAACGGAAAGCCTGTTTTTTTCGGAATTAATTCAAATTTTTCGCATCGCTAACACACAACGGTCTTGACCTGTTATAAAGTCGTTTCCAATAAAAAATTCCGATTTATTAGCAGACCCGTACCGTTTTATTACTGTAGATAATAGAAACACTGCTAAAGTCGATATTATCTTTAAATGAAACGTATATTTTTTGTTAAAGGCGTTAGTTCTTGTTAGGTATTCCTTGCGAAGCGCAGTGGAAAGATGAAGTGGTGGATCGTCGGTTGGTTGGCGATTGCAATATTGGTGGGTACGACTTTGAGTCAACAGGAAAAAGTTGGACCGCGTTGTAGGTAAGTCATATATTTATAAATTTTCATTTATTTATTGCAATTTACAATGATTTCTTTAATAAATAGGTAAAGTAAGTAGTAAATATATCATTAAAATAAGGGCTTTTAGTAAATCCATCAACCTTTCGCTGTAAATTGTTTGAATCTTTTCATAGCCAGCCTTTTATTACATCTTACCACCGCTTAGTTAAAAAATTATGTTACTTTAGAATGTTTAACAAGATATCTACCAAGATCTCTGTATTTTAATGCATTGAATCTTAAGACTTTTATTACAAATTACGAGCCACTTCCCATATCAGTGGACCCAAAGTTAGATTGATAAGAAAATTAACTTTTAGAGAACAAAAATAAAAGCGCAGCCTAAATTTTAGAAGTTTTAATGCATCGAACAACATTTTTGAATTTCCTAATTATAGAAAATATTTTATAACCACTGAGTTACATCTCCTTTATTTTTAATGACATTCATAACTCTTTAACGCATAGTTTTTACGAAGTTCTAACAAATTCTAATGTAAACGGATCCCATATTTCTTGCAATTTTTCGTTCAATTCGTTGACCGAACTAGCAGGATGTTTTCTCAAAGCTTTTTTCATTTCGTGCCACAAAGTCTTCATCGGGAATAAGTCGCGGCTGTTAGAAACTCATTCCAAAAGTGGTATGCTATGGTCTTCAATCCATTTTAAACTCTTTTTTGAGGTATGATAACCTGCGTTGTCCTTTTGGAAGACAATATCTTCCGCTGATGTTAAACGGTGTTCCATAGTCGGTAAAGCGATTAGCGAATTATCTTCTAAAATATTTAAAAATTTGTCCCTGTTTGCAATTCCATCGATATAATCTAACTTTCCCACAGCTCCAGCTCATGACAGATGCAGAAAATTTGATTTTTCTCTTCAGACAATCGGGATGGAAAGCTTCATTTTTCCTATGAATGACGCGACTTCTACTGTCTCCAACACACTCTTCAAATCTGGACTCATCACTCCATTGTATTCAATCCAATTGCGACTGAGTCCAATCTTTATGCTCTTTTGAACATCTTAGTCTGTTTTTCTTTTGTTGTAATTTTAAAAGTGGCTTTTCCTTAGCCTAAAATAAAATGAAATTTATTAAAAACAATTCGTACTAATTTTTTCAACTATAAAACTTTCTTTGTAAGTATCAAATCCCAATTTTTTGGATTCTCGGTGAAATGTTGAACTAGAAACGTGTTTGCCAATAACGTCACTCCATAGAACGATTTACTCCGTATAATTTGCTTGTCGATTATTGAATATAATGCATCTTAATGCCCTTCGATCTGCTTCGGATATTTTACTATTTCTTATATTTTTAGGTTTTGCGACTATCGAACCTGTAGGATTGTATCTTCTGACTATATTTATTACACTATAGCGTGACAATTTCAACATATTCGCGATTTCCGAATTGGATTTTCCAGAATTAAAAAAATCTACTAATGATTGAACAAATTTTCTCATAAATAACTTTACCTCGACCCATTGTACAATCCATACACGGCAAAAAGCTTTACAATACTACACAAAATACATTTGACATTAACTGACAATAATATTGTTTTGATATCATTTTTCCATAGCTACCTCTGGATTTAACGTAATTATGAAAAAATCAACGTTGGTATAAGTGAATGCATAGCCAGGGTTTAGTGAAACTTTTTTATTGTTAAAAATAAATAAAATACGATAAGGGTAATGGTTTTTACTAAATATTAATAAAAATGCCATATTAAGTAATATGGGAACTTATAAAAACATGCAGAGTATTTAGTCGACTTAAACTGCCAATTCCATAGGTGGGCCAACTGATATGGGATGGGGGTCATATATGTTTAGATTATTGTGTAAAATGTGATTATCCCTTGGTGACCAACAAATGTCCGTAGAATAATTAGACCAGTAAAGGTAAAAAAAAACTAAAAAAATCTTATACAGCATATATTCACGGATAATTCTCGATTTTAAGAAGCAGATAGCTAGGATAATTTTTGCTTTTTCGAAATCTTTTTTGTGAACTATCTAAATATGATGTTGGGCTAGGGCTGAAGTAGTATCAGAATGTTTTACAGATATAGAATGTTCATAAATACGGTTATGGATTCGTCGGGTTGTCTGTCCTAGGTATGTACGTGGAGAACTGGAACAAGGTATCTCGTCTTCATTGGGGATTTTTTTTTAAGGATCTCACCGATATTGGACAACTTGGAGTGAGTAGTGAAGATAGTTTTGATGTTTACAGGTTTAAGAGTTTTACTCATCTTGTCAGTGACACCTTTGATAAAAGGTAGAAAGATTCTGGGTTGATCAGGCGGCAAGATTTTGTTTTTGGATAGAATAGCGTTTACATAATTCAGCTTCATTCCTTTCTATTTTTTTATTTTTGTTCTCAATTTAGGTATCTTTAATTTGCTAATATCTTCTATGGACTTACAGTTTATTACCAATGGGAATTATTTGCTGTCCACAAACAACAATGTTCTGATGGTGCTACTTAGTTTGTAGTGAAAGTGGCTTCGTCGGTTAACAATATTTTTTTTTAAATTGTATCGAGTAATTTTTTAAATTAGTTTTGATAATGCAAGGGAAATTAACTGGCACATTTCGATTCGCTTTACGATTGTTTTTTCTATTCTTATTATTTGCTTTAGTATGTCATTTTGCACATGTTAAAGTATTGATGTTTTACATGAATGTTTGCACTTTTGCTCTATCTTCATTATTGTATTAACAAAATATGTTTATTGTCCTCTGTGGTAGTTAAAGATCTCTTGTCTCTCTTTCCACATTCAAATATTTAGTTCTGCCATATTCACCTTCAGTCCCCATTCTCTTAATTCCTCTTCCAGCTCTCTATACATGTGTTGGACATCCTCTTCATCAGTGGCAAAAATTAAAATAGTATAGACACAGTCATTTCCAATTTCCATTCCCATCTTACATTCAGCATTCTGACTCTATAATCCTGTGTGGGTCCTAGCCTATTTCTCTCCAGTCGTCCCTATCCATCGCCTTCTTCCGCCAATCTTCTGCCTTCTTCCCATACTGCTCATCTCTTCATCGATGTTATCAAGAAACCTCGTTCTGAGTATTTCTTTTCTTCTCTGGCCAATGGTTTTATCAAGGACCATTTTTATTGCTGGGTCATTTTGTTTCATTCGCATTACGTGCCCTATCCACCTCAGAAGTTGAATCTTAATATGTTTTACGTATTCCTGATATATTCTATTAAGTTCTAAGTTGCATCGTCTTCTCCACACTCCATTGTCAATCATTGCTCCATAAATTCGCCTTAGTACTTTTCTTTCGAATCGTCCTAACATGCTTTCAGTACTTTTTGTTAGAGTCCAGGTCTCTGAACTATACGTTAGGACTGGGCGTATTATTGTTTTGTAGATTTGTATTTTTGTATTTCTCGATATAATTGTTGATTTAAGGAGGAGATTAAGCCCAAAATAGCATCTGTTGAGCGTGTAAATTTGGCGGTTTATCTTTGTAATAGTATTATGTTCAGTGTTAAGGAGCTCTTGCAAGTATACAAATTCGTTCACTACTTCGATGACGTCGTTTTCTATTACAAGTGGTCGTAGGATTTGTCGTTGCGTGCTTGGTTTCATATATTTCCATTTGTTGGTGTTTATTATTAAACCCATTTTTGTAGCTTATTCTTTTAATGCTACATACGCCTCTCGTACAGCGTTTTTCGTTCTCTCAACAATATTGATACCATCAGCATAGGCATCTTACATTTCTTCATTCAATTATGCAGGGCTATTTGTATATATATTTGAAAAAATATGAGGGAGGGGAAACAACCTCGTTTTAAACCTTTATTAATTTTGATATGATCAGATAAGCTTTTTCCAATTTTAATAATTGCTTTTGCATTTTTATTTTTATATTACAGATAGCGGTAACATATCTCTACTTTTCTAATTTTCCATTCTTTTCATTATAATGTTGCATTATAACCTTTCTAAAGAGCTGGTGAGACTTACAGTCGTATAGTTTTTATATTGTCTTTGATCACCTTTCATCACGTTAATATTGAGCTAATGTATTCCAAATTCAAGTCATCTGGTATTCATATCTTCTTGTATTTGACATTTATTAAAAATACTGTCGAGCATTTACAATAATATTTCTGGGGCGTGTTCCAATTACTTGATAGGAATATTCTCAAGTTCAGCTACTTCTTTATTTTTCTTTATACAAATTTAAGCTCACTCAAAGTGATGTGCTTTTTATTCTAATTGTCTTCTACTAGTTTCTCCCTGGCTTCTGGTTCGTATTCGTTTGTTGTCTCTTTTAAAAGATTTGCGTAATATTCTTTTTATTCTCGTAAAGATATTTCTAATCTTTTTAGTATTCTTCCTTAGATTCTTGATTTCTTTTTAGGCTTCTAAAAAACGTCTTTCTCCTATGTATCTTTTCTATCTCATTTCTGAATCTTAATTCTTACATAAGTCGTTTTTTAAAATTTTGTTACATCTTTCTTAACTTCTCTATAACACATTCTTCATAATCCTCATTTTCATTCGCGATTAACTAAAGCTCATAAGTTGATAATTAATGTTCATATACGTAGTTTTCTTTGCATATACAATAATTATCTATTTATTTTTCTAGGAAATCTCCAAATGTCAGACTTTTGAGCAATAAAACTGCTAATCTCATACAAGCTATATCACAAACTGCAGCTGCTGGATCCAAACATATTGCTAACATAACAAAAGCTATTGTCAATCCGATTTCATCAGAGGCTGGAAGCAAACTTGAAAAAACAGGAAACAAAGTCGCAAGAGTCATAGAGGTAGTTGGAAATACATCAGCAACAGTTGCAAATAATACCATAGGAATTGTCGAAGATGCGGCAAAAAAATTGGTTGATTTTGCTTTGAGTGATGATGAAATAAGTAAGTATATTATCTTTTTTTGTGTGGTGGATCATCCCATTCTGGGATTAACTAAACGCACTCTATTTTAAAATACAACCGAACAATACAACTATTTTAATATCCAAATCATAAAACAACTGTTTTTTAAAAAGTTTCTTTTTTTACCTAGTTTACATTTTAAAGACAAGTTCGTTATCGACAAATCACAAAAAGCTGTAGTTTTGGAGGTCCAACCTTCAAAATATTCTTTGGACGAATAGTTACAATGAATCATGAATCACATACCAGATTTCATTAGTTGACAGAAAACAAATAGAAAGCATTATAGACGACATTACAAAGTAATTGGTCAAGTAATTAACCAACCACCTCCAACAAATTGACTCATTTAAATTAAATAGGTGGATCTTTTAATGAATTTTAGGTGACGTCTACATAAATCAGTTCAGTAAACCCTAAAAATGTATAAAGAAAAACAAAATAAATAAATATCAACACACCACACTCTAAATTATAAAAATAAAATTTAACTCTTTACTAAAAGACAAAACAATTGGTCTTTACAAATAAAAAAGAAAGTTTGTAGTATTTTCTTCAAAATACAATACCCATACCCAGGGTGTTTCATTTAAAAAAAAATGACAGAAGTTTTGTATTTGAAAATAGTGTTTACACTGTAGTTATATTCTATAGCTAAATGTCAATGATAATAAGCCAGTCGCAAACCCTATGCTAAATTTTTTATTTAACAAAATCTGAAAACAATTGAAAATTTCTCATTTTTTTGCTCCTATTTTCGTTTATAATTCTAAAAATGTTGATCCTAGAGAAAAAATTATAAGAAATTAAAAGTTTCGTTATTCAATTTTACACAATATGTCGTTAGCTAGAAATTGAAAATTTAATGTTTATTGTTGAAAAATAGCAATAATTGGAAAAAACAGTAATCCTTTTATTATTATTTTAGTAATTAAGTTAATCCTTTAAATGTTTTCGACTTTTTAAACTTGACTTACAAGCTCCATATTCCGCCTAGAAAAACTTTTTAAGATGTTTAAAACGTGTGCTAAATTTTTTTAAGATCGGTTGGATAGGTTTTGTATAATAATTTTGCAATCCAGCCTACTGGAAAAAAATCGCAAATTTTCAAATTTATAGTAGGCCTCAAATAAGGCCCTCAGATAGTTGCAAATTTTTTTACGTATAAAGAAAGGCTTAAATTTTCAAACGCTTTTGTAAAATTCAAATCGGATCACTAGGAGAACCTAGAAATTTTTTTAAAGTTATAAACATTTTTTAGACTTACTTGCTCCTGTTTTCGTTTATAATTCGGAAAATATTGATCCTAGAGAAGAAATTATAAGAAGTTAAAAGTTACGTAATTTATTTTACACAATATGTCGTTAGCTAGAAATTGAAAATTTAATGTTTATTGTTGAAAAAATAGCAATAATTGGAAAAAAAGTACAAAAAAATTAAGTTAATCCTTTAAATGGTTTCGACTTTTTAAACTTGACTTACAAGCTCCATATTCCGCCTAGAAAAACTTTTTAGTGTGTTTAAAACGTGTGCTAAATTTTGTTTTGATCGGTCGGATAGGTTTTGCATAATAATTGTGCAATCTAGCCTACTGGAAAAAAATCGCAAATTTTCAAATTTATAGTAAGCCCTAAATAAGGCCCTCAGATAGTTGCAATTTTTTTACGTATAAAGGAAGGCTTAAACTTTCAAACGCTTTTTGTAAAATTCAAATCGGTTCACTAGGAGAGCCTAGAAAATTTTTTAAAGTTTTAAACATTTTTTAGACTTATAAACAAATTGAATAAGTTTACGAGCTTTAAACATATCATTTTCGAATAAAAATATATTCTCAAATCAAATAATGTCATTATTATGATAAAACTGCAGAAATTAATTATTTTAAAAAGTTTGATTTTTACAAAAAAAAATCGTTCGCCTTTGTTTTAACAATTCAAATTATTACTATTATTATATATTGTTACTTTTAGTAAACAAATATCTATTTATAAATTGTTAATAAATAATTTGAATTGTTAAAACACAGGCAAATGAACTTTTTTTTTTTTAAATCAAACTTTTTAAAATAATTAATTTTTGCAGTTTTATCATAATAATGACATTATTTGATTTGAGAATATATTTTTATTCGAAAATGATATGTTTAAAGCTCGTAAACTTATTCAATTTGTTTATAAGTCTAAAAAATGTTTAAAACTTTAAAAAATTTTCTAGGCTCTCCTAGTGAACCGATTTGAATTTTACAAAAAGCGTTTGAAAGTTTAAGCCTTCCTTTATACGTAAAAAAATTGCAACTATCTGAGGGCCTTATTTAGGGCTTACTATAAATTTGAAAATTTGCGATTTTTTTCCAGTAGGCTGGATTGCACAATTATTATGCAAAACCTATCCGACCGATCAAAACAAAATTTAGCACACGTTTTAAACACACTAAAAAGTTTTTCTAGGCGGAATATGGAGCTTGTAAGTCAAGTTTAAAAAGTCGAAACCATTTAAAGGAATAACTTAATTTTTTTGTACTTTTTTTCCAATTATTGCTATTTTTTCAACAATAAACATTAAATTTTCAATTTCTAGCTAACGAAATATTGTGTAAAATAAATTACGTAACTTTTAACTTCTTATAATTTCTTCTCTAGGATCAATATTTTCCGAATTATAAACGAAAATAGGAGCAAAAAAATGAGAAATTTTCAATTGTTTTCAGATTTTGTTAAATAAAAAATTTAGCACAGGGTTTGCGACTGGCGCATATAGTGATTATTGATATTGGGCACATCCTGAAGGGATTCCAGCAAAAAAATAGCTTCCTATGGAAAATGTCCAATCCAAAACAGATCCCGTCTAGACTATAAACATTTACTATACAGTGTGTTCCAATGAAAATTTGACCCCTCCCAGAAACTCAGTAACCAAGGGTTCTTCAAAATTTAAAAAAGCACATCATTTTATATTGGGAGGAGGACGAATTTTAATGCAAAATGCATGCCCTCAAATGTAACAATGCTTTTTTTTCTGGGTCAAGGTCTGAGGGTGCCGAATTTTCATTGGAACACGCTGTATAGTTTATAGCTTAGCTATAACAAAAATGGCTAGGTTTGGCACACCCTATATTTATTTAACTTTCAGAGAATATTCAGGGAGATTTTGCAAAACGAATGGGCCTACGTACCCACAAAGAAGTGGACGCAGGAAAATTCAGAGACCTCTTAGGAGACGTTTTCGATTCTCAAACAAGGATATTAAGTTCTGATAAAAACTACTGTGGTTTGTGCAAATTACTTATTAAAAAGATTCAAATTTTTGGATTGCGTATTAGCAAAGTAGCAGAATTAATATGCAACATCTACGTTTTGCTGACTACGTTGACTTTTAATGGATTTTGTAAACAAATTATAGAACTTAATTTGGTAAGTTAGATGTATTCTATTTTATAACGCCTATAAACATATTGGTACGTGTTTCGGTACAAATATTACAATTACTATAGATAAATTCACATTCAGATGGCAGCGTTACAGAGATAGGCCTGTACTTTCTATACGCCAGAAATAACTACATTGTTGTCAGTTTTTAATCGTACCTACAATGTGAAACGGAAAAATGTTACATGTGTAATGTGAAACGGAAAAATACTACATTTTTTTAATTATATAATTTTTCTGTTGGTATTTTAAAAATAGAAAGTTATATTTCGGAAATCTGGTCTTTTCGGAATTATATCTTCTGTTCAAAATTGTTTACAATTCGTGGAAATGAAATAATTATTTGTATAATCCATTTTTGATCTTAATGTCCTTTTAATGACACACTTTCTCTACCTGCATTTACAGTTACAGACATTAAAAAATAATTTAGAATTAAAAAAATATACCTATTTATAAATTCAAAATTATTGTCTAATGCCAGCAATTATAAATTCAGGTAAATACTTGAGAGTCATTAAAAGAATTTTCAGTTGATATCAGACGTTTGTGTCGTGTCAGTGTCAAAATGGCCGCGAGTGTAATAAAATTCAAAAACGGTAATTTGTTAAATAGTGAATGCAAAAAAATAGTGTTAAATGTTTTTAACTATTTATCAAACAGTAATAATGATGCTAAAAGTGTATCAACAATAGTGCGGGAAGTTTCTGCTATGACTGGAGTCTCTGAGCGAACGATATTCCGATATAGAAGTGAAAGTAAAAATGGTCCACTCGTAACTCCTATAAGAAAAAAAAGAACCGGTTATTTGAATAGTCGTGAGAATAGATATGATGAAGCAACTCGGTCTAGAATAAGACAAGTAGTGCACGGTTTTTTTATGGACAATATTCCTCCAACCCTTGACGTAGTACTAGAAAAAATTAAGCAAATGGAGCATCTTCCGAATTTTTCCAAGAGTACGTTGAGAAGACTATTGCACGACATGGGTTTTATATATGGCAAACAAGGTAGAAATTCAATATTAATAGAAAAACAAGAAATAGTCGCTTGGAGGCGTCACTATCTCCGGGAAATAAAGAAACTGAGGAACGAAGGAGCCAATATCATTTATATGGACAAATCATGGGTTAATACTGGAATAACCAATGGGCAAGTATGGCAAGATACAACAATAAAAAATAGCCGACAGGCTTTCGTAAAGGGACTTACCACAGGTTTAAAAACTCCGACCGGAAAAGGACCAAGATTTGTTTTAGTCCATGCAGGAAACAAAGACGGATTTGTTGAAGGTGCTGACATCACTTTTCTTACCAAAAAAGGTGCTGAAGATTACCATGAAGTGATGGACGGAGATCTATTTGAAAAATGGTTTGAAGAGATGTTAATACCGAATCTCCCAAAAAATAAAAAGAATGTCATTATCTTGGACAATGCATCTTATCACTCTAGGAAATTAAATTTTCCCAAACAATATTGGGTGAAACGTCAAATTAAGGAGTGGCTCTATGAAAAGGACATTTCTTTTGAAGAAGATTACTTAAAAAATGAACTTCTGGAAACTGCTAATGTATTTAAAAATATTTATGACAAATACAAAATTGATTGTATTGGTGAAAAATACAGGAATCACAGTGACGAACAATGCCGCGTAGATGTACATATCTTAAGACTTCCGCCTTATCACTGTGAACTGAACCCAATAGAAATGGTGTGGAGTGAAGTGAAACGGTACGTGTCCTCTAAAAATTCAAGTTTCAAACAAAACGACGTTAAAACATTGATTTATGAAGGTTATGATAAAGTACAGAACAATGGACATTGGAAAAATTACGTCAACCATGTTATAAAATTGGAGAATAATTTTTGGACAGTAGACAACATTCAAGATGACATTGAACCTATTAGAATTTCATTAAACGATGACTCTGAAGATGAACTAGATTATGAAAATGAAGATGATTGAAAATTGTTTTTCGGGGGTATTCTTTTCTAAGTAAAGGTAATAAAATATTTAGTTGATCTGGTTGAAATGTAGCACACTTAAATAACTCATTAATCGACATAATTTCAAGTAGTTATATTAGACGTCATTATGGAAAAAATAAAGTTATGAACATTTAATAAATTAGTGCACAATTGAGGCCCCTAGAACACAAGGGGTGTAAGTGCCAAAAACAAAGTTTTGAAAAATCTTTGTTCAAAGTTCGATATAAATTTAAAAACCTAGGTAGCACTTTTTCAGTTTTCAGTATGTTTTCAATGACATGTAATTTTTGATGGTGTTATTGTTGTTAATGTAGAAAGTTTGAAGTCAAAAGTACGTGCCTGTTGTTAGATATCAGTTGCTAAGTGATAAGCAACTGCACTTACACCGTTGTGTTCTAGGGCCTCAATTAGGGGTTTTTTGCAATTATCTGTCATTTGTTTATGTATTTTAATTTACAAACTAAAAAATTAAAAAACTTTTTAAGATCTGCAACATTTATTTGAAACATTTTTCCCTAAAATGCACGAGGAACAAAATAGGCAAAAAAATGATTTTTTCCAAACTTCATCTTTCTTTAAAAAATAAACAAAGCAAAATTGGCTGTAATTCTTCAAGGAATTATCATCAGTTATCCCGTATCTACCGTTTAGAACATTAAAAAACCTGTAGAATATTTTTCATATTTTTTTCCCTATTAACTGCGGTATTATGTATAAAAGCATTTTTGGAATTATTACCATTTATTTCATTCACGAATTTTCTATTAACAACTTTAGCTTACCTAAACATATCTTAGTTTACCGTGAGTTTGGCCCTGCTTATTTTACAAAAGTAGCAAAACTTACAATGGCAGTAGAATTGGCAACGCTGTTATCCTATATCCGTACACTGCCATCTGAACGTGACTTTATCTATAATTACATTAATAATTATTACCGCTTAAATAACAAATGGAGTCTAATGGCGTCAAATCGGGAGATTGTGGTGGCCATTCCATCGATCTTCTCCCTATCTACCGATATGGAAATATTTGGTTGAGACTGTATCCATGTACTGCCGGACATTTGGTAATGGGGTGGTGCTCCATCTTGTTGAAACCATATCATATTCGCTGGACCTGTGGGTTTCCTGGATTAGGATACAAGGTGGCCAACGTTCTTCTTCTTCTTCTTCAGCCTTCATTTACCCAATGTTGGACATTGGCCTCCTCCAATTGCTTGGCAAATGTTGGTACTACATTATTTTGGAGCAATGCTAAATAATTGTCGCAATTAAAATTGACACATAAAAAAGGGACCTATGATCTGATCTTTAATAATTCCTGCCCACACGTTAACCTTCTCAGTGTATTGAGTATTGCCTTCTCTGATCCAGTGAGGATCTTTCCTAGACCAATAGCGTCAATTTTGCCAATTAGCATGAAGAGTAGTAGCGTGAAGAGTAAAGGTGCACTCATCAGAAAACAAAACATGTTCTAATTTGATCACATTGCTGTCTAACATTTTCATCATTTGTTTACAAAAATACGCTCTTTTGTTAAAATCATTTCACATGAGCTCCTAAGTGTGTATAATTTTGTAGGGATATATTTTGTTTTGATATATAATTGCTTCTCTATTTGACTAATTATCCCTTGAGATATGTGCGGCAAATGAGAAAATGCTTCGTGAAATAAACGAGCTACTTCCATTTCCATGTCTTATCTCCATATCCAATCATTTGTATAATTGTAATTTTATGCATTTCTGTTAAATGAACCATTGTTTTGCTTGCGGCTAATGAAATTCGAACGACTATAGCAGTGACAACTACTTCTCTCATGGAACAATAAAATATTGGCGTTTTAAACCAAAGTAAACAATTTTTTGTTTTTTTTAACATATTAATAAAAAGGAATGCTTAAATAGTTTTTGCTTATTTTATCATTACCAAAACCTAAATGGGCAAGAAGTATTAAGACAGCGACTTTCGACAAATAAATATTTTTTTTGTCCAAACGTGAATTTTTGCATTTTACTTAGTATTTCTGAAACAGTCAAAGATACTTAACGTTAGTTAAGTCATTTTAACGTTATTATCCGTATTGCGGTATCTAAGAAATAATAGATAATTATATTATCACTTGTTTGATTTGTAGCCTGTCCTAGAGTATGTAGTCAACAACAGTAAAATCTTAGATCCAGAATTAGCATGTACCATCCTTCTACAAACGCGAGAGTGTTACTATCCTAAACCAGCACTTTCTTGGATAACAGCTATACCTGCATCAAGACCTATATATCCAAAGGTAAGTTATGTCATTCGGAAAAAATTAACATATACCTTTGAAAGCTAATAATGTATCTGCAATGTAAAACTCGATAGTTTTAGGCAAGAGGAATTTCTCTTATATTATTTAAAACCTAATAAAATATCTATATATAGTAGTTAAGGCATATATGCAACATTATTCAAGAATACAACTTCTTCTTCTACTTCTTCTTTTTTTTTTCTTTTTATATAGATATGACTCTGTCTGTTTTTCAATGTGCCTCCAGTAAGTTGTCATTCCATCGTTGCATCTATATCGTATGTCTAGCTCTGTTCCATAGTGTTTAACCATCAATTTTTCTAAGTGTTTTCATCTCTGCTGTTTCTAATATTCTTTTGGCCCTATCTTGTAGCATTTTAAATTTGATTGATTCTTTGAAGTATATTTAAAGTCGCCTCGTATATGAAATCGTCTTAATAAAACGAAGAATGTTTTCTGTTTTTTAGTTCGTATCTTTCGAAAAGTGTTTTCAATCATTCTAACGTCGTAGAGTAATAAATCCATTTAATTGTTGTTTATTTTACTGCGGCGATTTCTTTTCATGTAAATGCGTTTCAAAGGATATCTACGTCGTTCGTTGGTTCTGCTATTTCAGCAGTTCGTTGATTTTCGAGTTAAGCGAACAAATTTTTAATTTCGTCACTCTCGGTGGAATCGCTGCCAAAGTCAGTCGGTTTCATTGTTTAGTCCGGATTTTCTTTAAATTCGTTATTGCATTTTTGTTATGGAAAAATGTGTAAATAGTAGCAGTGTGGAGTAAACCGAGACAAAGAAAACAGTCAAGTTTTGGAATTGAGATTCGGAATAGCTTGCGGGTGTAGTCTTCCAAGCCGGATTTTTTTTTTCAATTTGAAAAGTGAATTTTTACTCAAAATGCGATCTGGCAGTTTTTTTGTTGAGTTAACCACCGATTTGTTCGTGCTGTGTTTTATCTGAGAGATTTGTAAAACGGCGTTTCCAGCCGTTTAAGAGGTTCACATGATTTTGGGAGGAAATTGAGTGGGCGAGTTTTGAAGATTGCAGTTTTTTGTCATTCAGGATGATCCGAAGCCCGATTCCAGTGGCCAACTTCCAAAGAATTGTCTATTTGTGTTCATAAGTCACTTCAGACTGAATTGCAGTTTAAGTGGGACACAGTTGTATATTTTGCAGTGTTTTGGTTCAATTCCGATTCCAAAAATTTTCTTAAAGGAAATACATCAGTCAGTGATACCAGGTACTTTTAAAATTAAAAATTACTTTTCAAAGTAAAAATAAATAATTTTTCAATAATAAAAAAATTTGCTTTGATGACAAACTAAAAAATTGTAAATAAATGAAATTATAAATTTTATGGATTAGCTAATTGTCCTATTAGTTTTCTTTTAAATAAAGTTGACTGCTATAATTAAAATTAATGTTTCAAAAGGTTTAATATTTCATTTCGATATAATATGACAGTTAGTATTATCCTTTCTCGACATTAATACATAACCATAAAGTTGAATTGTTTTGTAACTGTTTGTGGTACACATAATTAAAGGTTAAATTTTATTTTCTTAACTTTTTATTTATTTTTTTTAAGCTAACCCTTTTTGAGTTTATTTGAAAAAGATATGTTTTGATTTTATTTTCTAATTATTTCCCTAGTTACAACTAGTGGTTGTAATAGGCATAATTAGGCACCTCAAGTGGCGCCCTATAATCAAATTTCTTGAGGTGTTTTCTTGTTTATTTTTATTTTGTTTATCCCAAAAGCCCTTTATTTCTTTTTGTTGTAGTTGCCCCATTCTAACCCCCATTTTACTTATCCACGACCCCAGCTCTCCTACGAAACCCTGAGTGTCCGTTCGCACAAGTAGCGTTTATTTTGCTTGCCTTATCTTCACCCCCAATAGTTTCTCCCCCAATTTTCTGCCCCTTGTATTAATGGCCCCTGTGGTAGGCAAAATATTTTCGTTACAAAAATGGCCCCCAACGTGGCTGGCGTTTTTTAGATTTTTGCCCCTTTTCCCGAAGCCATATATCTTTTTCAATTTTTCTGCCATAATTTTCTGCCATTTTTATCAAACCCTGTCTTCCGAGTAGTGCCCCGGTGTCCCACAAACAGTTTGTTTATGTAATTGTATCAACATATGTATTGTTGTTTTTTCTTTGTATGGTATTTGTATTAACATATGTATTATTGTATATCAACAGATGTATTTGTTGTATATTGACATATGTAATGTTGTTTCTTTTATTTCGTGTACTGTAGAAATGTTTCTATATGTATTTTTGTGTATTGGTAAATGAAAGCAAATATTTTGAGTTTGAATATTTAAATTGAATTTTAAATAATGTTTTGATGTTGAAAAGAATTTTAAGTTATTTACAGTAACAAATTAAGTATACCGTTATTGTGCCATTTATTTTTGATTGATTTGACATTTCTTACAGAAAAATCGGTTTTTGTAATTTTGTTTTGTCTGGTCATTTTGAGTAAATGTGTTTATTGTTTGAGTGACTTTTTTTTGAGCTGATGAGTATAGTTGTGTTTTGTCGTTTGTCCTAAGACATTTCATTGTTTCCTCTAGCCCTCTCTGACGGCGTTTGTGTTATGCCACGGGCCAGTAGGAGATTGTGAATGTGAGAAGGAGTTCCCTGTGTCCCCTGTTGTTCCCTAATTAACCAGCTTTGACGGCGTATTTAATGCCACGGGTTAATAGGAGATTGTGTTCCCCTGAGTCCCTTTTGTGTTTCCTGTCTTGTATCTGAATGATGACAAGTATTATACTCGTGATCGGAGATGCTGTTTAGTTTTGCCTAGGAGCAGTCTCATTTAGTTTTCAGAACAAGAGCAAGGTTGTTTTATGTTGTGTTATTTCGTGTAGCTCACTCAAAGGTCAAGTTATCAATATTATTAGTGTTTTTGTATCACTCTGTATGTGAAGTTTATCGAGTATGTTGTTTTGTATACATTGTGTATTTGCTTTCACCCAAACATTGTTTCAGTATTTTTGTCCCGCCCTGTATGTGAAGTTCGTTGAGTTTGCTTCGAACCGTTTTTTTTTCTGTTATTTTGTGGATTTGTTTTATCTAGCTTTTTTTGTTAAATCAAGTCTATTCCTGTCCCAAGTTAACTGCTACGATTTCCATTTTCTTCTATGTCCAGTTTTCGTAAAATTATGTAGAAATAATTTTCGTCTATTTCCTTGTGAATTAAAAAATACGTATTTGGAATGATGTCATTCCTTATTTGCCGGTATTTAAAATGTGAACGATATCAAGTTTGTTTATTCTTGTTCGTCTTAAGTACCATCCCATGTCTGAGAAAAGAATTTTGTTTACGTCAACGAAATAATTTATTTCGTATGTAGACGCTGTCCTTTCTTTAAGTGTTTATAAGTTATATATTTCGTCTTCTTAATTGAGTCTTTGAACAATTATTGCGTTTCAGAAATCAGCTGTTGTACGAAAAATATAGGTCAAATTTTTTCGTATCTTTAAAGTTTAATAGTCCAGGCAATGTGTAAAATTTTTTAAGCCCCGAAAAGGAAAATGTTTCTGATTTCACAGTCCATGATCAGTCCGTGTGTTCTCGTGTTGTCTTTTGTGTTATAAGTAGGAGGAAGTAATAATACGATTTCGTTTGTCCATGGCTAAGGCCGATTTGTTAGTGACAAAGCGAAGTATTGTTATTTGCCTTATGTTTGTTATTTCCGTATTTCCCCGTGTTTTCTTTGTTCCTATTCTGTGTTACAAGTAGGAGGAAGTGATGATACGATTCCGTTTGTCCTTGGCTAAGGCCGATTTGTTAGTGACAAAGCGGAGTATTATTATTTTTCTTTTGTCTGTTAGTCTTGTGTTTCTCCCTAGTTTTTTTTTGTGTACAAGTAGAAGAGAGTGATGATACGACTTCGTGTATTCCTGGCTAAGGCCGATTTGTTGAGAATACATAGCGAAAGTATTGTGATGTTTTTTCTGTCTGTTTAGTTTAGTGTCTTTCCGTGTCTTTGTGTGGTCAGATGTAGTGGAGATATGTTGATGGTCTAAAATGTATTAGTTGGTGATTTGAGTATTGTGTTGTTGAAATATCATATAGGACGTACAGGCATGTGACCTGGATTTGTGTTTCCTTGGATATTCCTGTTGTTGTGTAAGACTGCGTAGCAGCATCCCCTTTCCGTGATATATTAGAAAGGATAAGCCTTTCTAAATGTTGAAGTAAGACTATTGACCTAGTCTCAATAGCATTCCTTCTTGTTGTAGTGTTTGTGATGTAGTGTTGATGATTTGGTAAAAGCGGAGGTACAAATACTTGCATTGTCCATTGTGACGTTTTATTTGCTGAGGTGAAAGTACCTGCCGCCGTTTATTGTGAAAATTTTGTTTATGTCGATTGTGAGACCATGTTAGAGAAACATCTGAAGTTTTTCTAGTACTACCGTTGAATGACCCACTAAGAATTCCCCAGACTTATATTGTTGTGACCATGTTCGAGTTTTGTTGAAGAATAGTGAACGTTTCTTCTGATTTGTATGACGATGTTGTATTTGATTATTATCCGTGAAATGATGAAGTTTATTTCTTGATGTTGTCCCTTCATTCCCTTCCCAAACTGTGTCTTTGACCTTATTAGTTGTCATAAGAGGAACGGCTAGGTCGATGAGTTTTGGATTCGTCCGCCAGGTGACCTGTTGAGCTTTTAAGGAAGATAAGCATTAGTTTTTGCCTTGTGTATATATATATATACTCTTCTTCTTCTTCTTCTTTACCCTTCTTGCCCTGCTTTTGAGATTTGTGTACCCAGTTGGAAGTTTTATTGTTGTTGACGGACTGTAATGATTTTTTTGTTCTTTTGGAAGATTATAGTGTTTCTTATGTTCCCTTGGAGATCTGTAATGATGTTTTTGTTTCTTTTGAAGTGTTGTCATAACTTTTTTGTTTTCTTTGGAAGACTGTTACGAGTTTTTTTTTGTTTCTTCAGGAAGTATTTAGTTTGAGACTGAACTGATTGTGTATTGATTATGGCTTGTATGCCATGTGCCCCTGTTCTTTCTTCTTTTCCAAGATTGTGTATTAGCATTTTGGATTTATTTTCTTCTTTTGTCCTTTTGGGAGTTTCCTGACTTGGAAATTTTTCGCTGTGTCGATCCCAGAGGATATTTCTATGGAACTATTGGCCATCCTGTTTTTCTCCTGTTTGTGTTTGATTTTCAACCAATGGTTGAAAATTCATTGCTTGACTGTTATAGTCAAGTTTGTTATTGTGTGATATTGTTTTGGTTATCTATCTAGTGGATAACCATAGCGAAGCTTGTCTAAGCTGTGTTGTTGGCCACCCGCCTTTGTTGAGCTGGAAACACCTTTCTTTTCGCTTCCAGAAACTTCAACACTGGTCTGTTCCACGTTTTTGGTTAGGCAAGAGCCATTTTAGTAGAAATCTGCCATTGTGTCGTTGTGCTTAAGAGCCAACGAACTGTACCTGGTGCCGATTCGTCAAATCGAGCATCCAGTTTTATTTTGTATGTTATTATGTTAGAACCATAAACAGTTATGATGTGTAGTTTTGGTTATGATTTTTGTTTGTTGTTTTTTGTTCTGTTTGAGTTATTGAAGTCATTATGTGTTGTTGCAGTAGTTAGAAAATGCTACTGTTGTTCCAACCTGATTGTTGTTCGCCCTAAACGAAAACTTTTCCTGTTAGTCCAGTTTTCGCTCTTACGTGGGGGTATTGTAGCATTTTAAATTTGATTGATTCTTTGAAGTATATTTAAAGTCGCCTCGTATATGAAATCGTCTTAATAAAACGAAGAATGTTTTCTGTTTTTTAGTTCGTATCTTTCGAAAAGTGTTTTCAATCATTCTAACGTCGTAGAGTAATAAATCCATTTAATTGTTGTTTATTTTACTGCGGCGATTTCTTTTCATGTAAATGCGTTTCAAAGGATATCTACGTCGTTCGTTGGTTCTGCTATTTCAGCAGTTCGTTGATTTCGAGTTAAGCGAACAAATTTTTAATTTCGTCACTCTCGGTGGAATCGCTGCCAAAGTCAGTCGGTTTCATTGTTTAGTCCGGATTTTCTTTAAATTCGTTATTGCATTTTTGTTATGGAAAAATGTGTAAATAGTAGCAGTGTGGAGTAAACCGAGACAAAGAAAACAGTCAAGTTTTGGAATTGAGATTCGGAATAGCTTGCGGGTGTAGTCTTCCAAGCCGGATTTTTTTTTTCAATTTGAAAAGTGAATTTTTACTCAAAATGCGATCTGGCAGTTTTTTTGTTGAGTTAACCACCGATTTGTTCGTGCTGTGTTTTATCTGAGAGATTTGTAAAACGGCGTTTCCAGCCGTTTAAGAGGTTCACATGATTTTGGGAGGAAATTGAGTGGGCGAGTTTTGAAGATTGCAGTTTTTTGTCATTCAGGATGATCCGAAGCCCGATTCCAGTGGCCAACTTCCAAAGAATTGTCTATTTGTGTTCATAAGTCACTTCAGACTGAATTGCAGTTTAAGTGGGACACAGTTGTATATTTTGCAGTGTTTTGGTTCAATTCCGATTCCAAAAATTTTCTTAAAGGAAATACATCAGTCAGTGATACCAGGTACTTTTAAAATTAAAAATTACTTTTCAAAGTAAAAATAAATAATTTTTCAATAATAAAAAAATTTGCTTTGATGACAAACTAAAAAATTGTAAATAAATGAAATTATAAATTTTATGGATTAGCTAATTGTCCTATTAGTTTTCTTTTAAATAAAGTTGACTGCTATAATTAAAATTAATGTTTCAAAAAGGTTTAATATTTCATTTCGATATAATATGACAGTTAGTATTATCCTTTCTCGACATTAATACATAACCATAAAGTTGAATTGTTTTGTAACTGTTTGTGGTACACATAATTAAAGGTTAAATTTTATTTTCTTAACTTTTTATTTATTTTTTTTAAGCTAACCCTTTTTGAGTTTATTTGAAAAAGATATGTTTTGATTTTATTTTCTAATTATTTCCCTAGTTACAACTAGTGGTTGTAATAGGCATAATTAGGCACCTCAAGTGGCGCCCTATAATCAAATTTCTTGAGGTGTTTTCTTGTTTATTTTTATTTTGTTTATCCCAAAAGCCCTTTATTTCTTTTTGTTGTAGTTGCCCCATTCTAACCCCCATTTTACTTATCCACGACCCCAGCTCTCCTACGAAACCCTGAGTGTCCGTTCGCACAAGTAGCGTTTATTTTGCTTGCCTTATCTTCACCCCCAATAGTTTCTCCCCCAATTTTCTGCCCCTTGTATTAATGGCCCCTGTGGTAGGCAAAATATTTTCGTTACAATCTGTGTCAGGTCTTATGGGCTTATAGACTTATGGGCCTGTAATTCCTGAGGTCGGTAGCATCCCCTTTTTTATGAAGTATGATAATTTCTGCGTTATACCACTGGGTTGGTGTTATTGCTTCCTGCAAACATCTAGTGAATAGTTTGGCCAGGACCTGCCATAATCTTTTTCCAGCCACTTTCAAAATATCTGCCACTATTTCATCGCCTCCGGAGGACTTTGTTTTTCATTTCTTGCACTGACCTTCGAACTTCATTGGGTGTTACGTCCGGTAAAATTTCAGATCCCAGAATATTGAGATTATATATTCCAAAATCTTAGTAAAATTACAATAGATGGGACAATGGCAAACAAAAAGGCATGCAAGCAAAAAGAGAATAACAGATGTCTTAAAAAATTCAACTCTGCAATGTAAAAGGTAAAAAATTAGCGAAGAAAAACTTATAAAAAAAGATATGAATTTACCTTTTAAAAAATAGAAGAATATTTCTTCTTTAATTATTGATATAAAGAATATATTGATGATCAGTGACTAAAAAAAGCGATAAAATAATTAAGTAAATACATCAATATTAACATTAATGAACAGATTCTGTACAATTTTCTTTTTTTAGATTACTAGACATCCAAATAAGAAACCTTTAAAAATTCTTCACTTAACTGACCCACACATTTCACTAGATTATGAACCAAACGGTGTAGTTAAATGTGGCTTTCCGGTATGTTGCAAGAAAGGGTTGGGAAATAAAATAAAAGGACAAAATGCTGGATATTGGGGAGAATACGATTGTGATGCTCCTCCTTGGCTATATGGCAATACACTACAGCATATCAGAAGCGCTCATAAAGTAAGTAGAGAATAGATCCGTGTCATAATAGTTGTCTTAAAAGTATTTATATTAAGGACTTGGACTACATTTATTTTACTGGAGATATTATCGACCATACAGTCTGGAACACATCAGTGCAATCAAATACGGTGCTAATTAACCTCGCCTACAAAGCGTTAAAAGATACTTTCCCAATTCCAGTGTTTCCTGTAATTGGAAATCACGAATCAACTCCACTAAATATGTAAGTACAATAATATGTAACTTTTATTTTTTATATCTATCTTCAAGATGCTTTTCGCATCATGGGAACCAGAGTGTTTTAAGTAAAAAATCGAAAAATTTTGACAGACAGGCAAAAATAATCAGAATATCATTATTTAAATCAGAAAATTATTATATTTAAGCCAACAAATCTAAATTTTAGACATTTCTTTTTACGATTCATTAAAAGTTTTCGTAAAAATCGATTTTTTAATTAAATTTTGAGCAAAATAAATTACTTAAACAAATAAAGAATGCAGCTAGATCGAAATGCAACCGTCATTTATTTTTTTAAATAAAGAACTGTCCGGTCCTTAGTTTAGAAATTTTAAAAAATAAAATAAGAGAATTATCCAAGAATTATCCAAGGGTTAATTTTTGCATAAACTCGGTGGAAATAAGTTGTTATACAAGGTGGTCCAGAATTATGTACATTAATTTCTAGAGCTCATAGTACGTCCAAAAATAAGGGTATTTCTTTATGTACACTTTTTTATAAAACTGAATAATAAGGGAGATACAACCCTTTAAAGGGGTGAATTGAAATTCTTATTTTTTCAAATATCTTCCAAACGGTTTTGAATACGAAGTTTATATTTTGGGAGTGATTATAAGACATTAAGATAATTAATTTCATGTCACCACCTACCACATCCTATATTAATACAGGGTAGTTTTGGAGGGTAAGTGGGGGTTATTGCGTCACATGTTTTTTAATTTTTACATATTTTAAAAAAATATTTTAAAAATTGTTTCCTTATACTTTTCCACGCAAAAAAGGTGCTCTTGTAATATTTCGATAGTTATCACCGTTTTCGATTTATTTAAACTCGAAGGTATACATGTATTTTATTGTAATCGTTACATTTCTTAATATTCATCAAGTATGCTTTGGAATTGACACTTGTGTTAGTAACAACACTTTAATCTCAAGTAGTCTATGAATTGTCAGTGACGTTTAATAACAATTAAATTATTTTATCTACACTTTTATTGTAGTCGACAGTGAAATTTGTTTAACACGTCTCTTTTGCTATATTTTTTAAATTTGTTTGCCCGCAATATAGCACACTATTCAAATTTTGAGATGACATACATACTTTTAGTATTAGGGGAATGTTCGGGAAATGCTGCTGCCGCTGTAAAACGCTACAGAGAAAAGTATCCGAACAGAAATATTCTGGATTAATATAATGCCAGGACTTTTGTAAGTACTGAACGATGACTGAGTGTAATAAATAATCCCACAATAAGTACACGCAGGTTAGGATTAAGAACGAATATTTCTCATCAAAGTGTTTTAAGAGCTCTGCATAAAGAGCAATTACATCCTTACCACTATCGACAGGTGCAGGAATTGTTACCTGACGATATGCCACTTAGAGTTGATTATTGTGAAGTATTGCAAAATAAAGTTCAAACTGCACCAAATTTTTTAAGCAACATTCTGTTTATAGACGAGGCCACATTTACAAGACAAGGTATGTTCAATTCTAGAAATATGCACTTCTGGGCTAAAGAAAATCCGAGGGCTACAATGGAAACTCACTTCCAACACACGTTCAAGATAAACGTTTGGGCAGCTACTTTAGGAAATAGTTTCATAGGATACCACATCTTTCCAGGAAATTTAAATGGCAACATGTATTACAATTTTCTAGACAATATTTTACATATTTTGGAAGATATTCCATTACAAATACGAAGAAACATGTTTTTCATGCATGATGGTACAACGCCACATTACACAAGAATTTGTAGAAGGTGGTTACATGAACATTTCCCTGATAGATGGATAGGCCTAGGTGCGGATGCACCGATTCATTGGCCTGCTCGTAGTTGTGATGTTAATCCAATGGACTTTACAGTATGGAGTTATTTAAAATCAAAAGTGTATAACACTCCAATTAATACAGTAAATGAGTTAAGAGACAAAATTGAACAAGTATTTACCAATTTACAAAACGATCCAGTAACATTAAATGGATTAATGCGTTCGCTAAATAAAAAAATTAGATTATGTATTCAACAAAATGGAGGACATTTTAAACAGTTGTTGTGAAATATTATTTTCGCCATTAATTAAATGTTAAGTATTTATTAAGTTTTCCATTAATTTGTAATATTATTGCTAATACAAGTGTCAATTCCAAAGCATACTTGATGAATATTAAGAAATATAACGATTACAATAAAATACATGTATACCTTCGAGTTTAAATAAATCGAAAACGGTGATATCAATCGAAATATTACAAGAGCACCTTTTTTGCGTAGAAATGTCTAAGGAAACAATTTTTAAAATATTTTTTTAAAATATGTAAAAATTAAAAAACCTGTGACGAAATAACCCCCACTTACCCTCCAAAACTACCCTGTATTAATATAGGATGTGGTAGGTGGTGACATGAAATTAATTATCCTAATGTCTTATAATCACTCCCAAAATATGAACTTCGTATTCAAAACCGTTTGGAAGATATTTGAAAAAATAAGAATTTCAATTCACCCCTTTAAAGGGTTGTATCTCCCGTATTATTCACTTTTATAAAAAAGTGTACATAAAGAAGTACCCTTATTTTTAGACGTACTATAAGCTCTAGAAATTAATGTACATAATTCTGGACCACCTTGTATATAGTTCAGGCTGTGAGGCCGCTCCCGTTGGGAAAATGTTTCTGATTCGGTTTCTTCGCGGATTCCGGTTCAAAAATATCCCCTTTAAACAAATCTGGAGGGTGCCGGGCAAAATTTTTGGGCAGAAATTGTTTAAACAATTTTTTTTAAACAAATTCCAAAAAAAATTTTTTTCAATCTGGAAAACATTTTTTTTAGGTTTTTTGGGTCATTTTAAATAAAAAAGGTCTCTAGTCATTTTTCTCCAAAGTTGATAGTTTTCGAGTTATAAGCAATTTAAAGTCTGAAAAACGCGAAAATGCGCATTTTTGAGGCTTGAAAACACATATGTAAATTATTATTTTTGAGGTTACCAAGTGTCTAAATTAAAGTTTAAACATTCAACTTCAAGATTGTGAAGAGTAATCGAGGCTTGTTTTAATTTAGACCCTTGTTTTTTAATTGTTAAATATGCGCGTACACTCGATTTTTCAGCCGCCGCGGCGCGGCGCGCTAGAGTGCGCTTCTATCTTAGTTATGAATAGTTTACATATACACTTACGCAAAAAAACCCGAACAAATCCTTGAAGTTTATTAACATAGTTTTTTCCATAATTTATTTATGTAGGTATTAATTATTGTCATTGGGCTAATTAAATAAATCAATCATCGCAATGTAATAACCGTATATAGTTTTTTTTTTTCTTCCAAATTTGAACAATATAATTATTATTTATTGAGTATATATTTATTTATATCAATTGTAAATATTATTTTTAAATTATTATTTAAATAATACAATGCAGTAAATATTAATATTAGTAAACTAAATTTTAAATTGCGCGGTGCTTAAAAACAAAATACTATCGCAAAAATGCAAGTTTTTACCTGTTTAACAATCGCGCGCTCATACTTAATTTGTTATTACTTAAACGATCATTAGGAAGACTATTGTTTAATGCCCATTAAAAGGGTATTATATTATTAATGTGTTATTAAAAAAATTGTGAATGGATTTAAAATGTCTTTTTCCGTACCTCTTCTTAAATGAAAACTTACCGAAGAAAATTTAGTTTGTATTTTTTGTAATAACATCAACAATATTAAGTTCAAAATTAAGTGCAAATTAAGTGCAAAAACCTAAAGTAGATTTTTACATAACATTACAAAATTCTGCTCTTCGACGAAAAGACAGTGTGACTGAAAAATTTAGTTTAATCTAGCCAATATACCTTGTACCTCTGACGCACTTTACTAACACTTGTTAAGAGCTTTCGCTAAAACATATATTTGGCGAAATGCCATATATTCCCGCTATCAAACTCTCGATTTTACACAATATCAATATTATATGTCTGATAGTGGTGGGTTGGGAAGCCGTGCAAATGCAAAAAGACTTGCAAAACTAATGCTTGCAACTGCAAGAAAAATCATGTCAACTGTGTACCATTATGTGGATGTGATTTAGATTTTTGTGATAAGATAAGATACTTTTACTGAGTGATATTAGTGTGTTATTTAACAATCGTTTGTACAATTATTTTATGTAACTATTATTAGACTTTAGACGAAATTTATATTATAACTCAATTGATATAAATAAATATATACTCAATAAATAATTTATTTGTAAGTATATGTGAACTATGCATAAGTACGATAGAGGCGCACGGTAGCGCGCAGCTTAACGATTATAAAAAACAACGGTCTAAATTAAAATAGGCCCCGATTACTCTTCACAATCTTGAAGTTAAATGTTTAAACTTTAATTTAGACACTTGGTAACCTCAAAAATAATAATAAACATATGTGTTTTCAAGCCTCAAAAATGCGCATTTTCGCGTTTTTCAGACTTTAAATCGCTTATAACTCGAAAACTATCAACTTTAGAGAAAAATGACAAGAGACTTTTTTTGTTTAAAATGGCCCAAGAAATCTAAAAAAATATTTTCCAGATTAAAAAAAAATATTTTTGGACTTTGTTTAAAAAATTTGTTTAAACAATTTCTGCCCAAAAATTTCGCCCGGCACCCTTCAGATTTGTTTAAAGGGGACATTTTTTAAACCAGAATCCGCGAAGAGACCGAATCAGAAACATTTTCCCAACGGGAGCGGCCTCACAGCCTGGACTAATATAAAATGTTGTGGACATACGATGATTTCCATATAAATAAAATAAAAAAGCAATAAAGTAAGGGAACAATGGTTTTCTGAATGAACTTCTATTTTTGTAAAATAATAGTATGAGCCTTACCATTGTCACTTAGTCAATAGATAGTTAATGCAACAAATAAACATTTTTTTTTTAAATATGGAAGTCACAGCGCTCATTGTCGAGAAAGTCACTCATTACTTCCTTTTCCTCACCAGCAGCTACTGTAGTGAGTTCATCAAAAATCAAACTCTTGTATCACCAAAGCGTGGGTTAGAAAAATATTCTTCTTAAAAGTTTGTGAACATCTTTGTCTTTTCTTTGGTTAACACATGAGGAAGTGGGAGCTCTTTCAGTCTCACTTATCTGAGATTTTTTTCCTTTCTTTCTCAAAGATTTATATCTTTATTTAAGTGGCTTAAAACCTATGTTAATATTTTACTTAGTTTACTAATACTTAACTCATTACTAGACTTCGATTAATAAACTTATTTAGAATTATGGTAACAATAAATGACCAAGTGGTGTTCAAAATTTTCTAACAAAAACTTGTGGCTTCTGTCTGAGTACATATATTTATATATGGAAAAACTTCGTTCAACATCAACTGATGTAACGGGAGCATTTTTCAAACTAACCAAAACATTTGGTTCTAAATTAATTGTTTCCGAAATATTTCCAGCTAGAACACTGACTACTTCAGAAAGAATATGGTAACCTTTATTTTTTTCCATAGTAGCTTCAAATTTTTTTAAAATATCTTTTCCAGTATTACCTCTAACGTTCCGACAACATGACGCAAGTTCTTTTATTAATGCTGTACTTTCGAACAATGACAGTTTTGGTGATTCTGAGTAATTGTTTTTTGAACAAAACTAAAATTTGATTTTATAAATGAAAGTTCTTGTTGAAGCAAGTTACTCTGAAAAGTTTGTTTAGAATCCAAAAGAGATTGGGAACTTTCATCTGTTAACGTATCAATTATGTTCTTTATTTTAACAAAATGATCTGCATAAAAATTAGCTGCTTCTAACCATGTTCCCCATCGCGTTAAAATAGGTTGTGGTGGAAGAGGAATGTTAGGTAGCATTTCTTTATAAAGTTGAATTCTTATAGGAGATTTAAGAAATACTTTTTTGACACTGGATATCATGGTATTAACAAGAGGAAACTTTTTTCGTATTTCCTCTGCAACTCTGTTTAATCCATGCGCTACACAAGTAACATGTATTAAATCTGGGAAAAATATTTTTAAATTTTGTCCTGCTTTCACCATATAAGGAGCAGCATCCGATAAAATAAGCAGTAATTTATTAGAAGGAATAGTTGTCGGAAGAAAAAAAGTTGCTAATGTTTCTTGTATAAAACGCGAAATTGTTAAAGCATTTGTTTTCTCAAGTTGCTGGCATGAAATAAGATGAGATTTTGGTAAGGTATCTTCTTTAAGAACACCAATCAATAAATGAGCAATATACTTTCCTGAGGAATCAGTGGTTTCGTCTACAGATATGTAAAAATAATTATCTGCAATTTCTTCCTTAATATTAATTAACACCGACGAGTATAGCCCGTTCACATTATTTCTTCTTAGAAACCGATCACTTGGAACATTAAGTTTGCAATATTTTTTTAGAAACGAACTAAAATTTACATTTGCTAATTTTGAAAGCGGTATGTTTGCAAACACTAATGCGCGACACAAGTCTTCCTTAAAAGTTTCTTGCTCATCTAATTTTTTTGAAGTAGATTGGAAACATTTAGCCATTGAAGTTTGATGTTTTCCTCCTATTTTTCCTTTTTTTGCAATGTGTGAAGCAGTTCTCACATGTTGGTCTATCTGAAATTTCTTCTCACATGCTATCTATAAATAAAAATAAAAACCTTTATTTTAACCCAACCTTTAAAATATAAAAATATACAAGGTGTTTTTGGTTAATCAAATAACTGGTTTGGAAAAAACACTTGCTAAGTGTTTTAAATGCAGTATTAATCCACAAATTATTTTTTGTTACTAACCATTAGTACATCATATAACTTATTTTAAAATTCAACAAAAGTTTTTTTTTTTGTTAATTCAATTACAATAAAAATAATTGTGTTTTAGAATAGCTGACTTTATAAAAAAAAGTAAAGGTGAAAAATTTTTCTAAATACACACCATTGTATTGTACCATGGACAATTTTTTCTCACTAAAGGAAGCTATTTTTCATTTAAAAACAACCTACGAGTACTAAATTTCAAGTAAATACGTTTATTGGTTTTAAAGTTATTGTTGTTATTAACTAAAAGAATTTAATTTTTTTTAATTTTAACACCCTGTATCTCGAAAAGTAAATAAGTTTGACCCCTCATTAACTATATCGTTTTGTTCAATTTTTCGAGAAGTATCTACAGTCAAACGTTGTAAGTATCATTTGGAAACACCCTGTATTTATGAAATATTAGATATTTAATAGAAAATATTAGATATGTACTTACAATTTTGCCACAGACTGAACAGTAGATTTTTCCCATATCCATAGACAGCTCTTTATAAGGTTTAATCCAAGTTGAAGCACTGGTTGTTTTAGGCATTATAAAATCACAATCTTTCTTTTTGTTACGCACAACGAGTATTTACGCTTTGAATATCAAAACAAAAATGATTTACAAATCTGAGCATCAAAAGTCTACAGTCATTACCCATATATAATCTGTTTGACTCCTATCTTTTATAATGTGATTCGGTTCCTCTGAGCTTTTTTATGTACTTTCCTTCTTCAGATAGTTTTTATTTTTGGTAGAGTCACCTTCTAATTTTACCATCAACAGCAAACCCAAAATGCACTTTTTTGGCGAAGTTTTTATTGTAGATACTCCAATACAGTGCGGAAAAGCTTTACCGCCCTAGGCCTATGTCTTTTGATTTGTGTTGTATAAATTACTTATATTATTAAATAGACTGACAATTATATTGGTTTGTCTTTTCGTATCTGGAAATTTATAAAACTCTTCTTTGAAAGCATTGATATAAATAAGCTTTTTTTAGGCACGTAGAACGTTTATTTATGTTCTTAAATGGTACAAAAACTAGGGCTCTTTTAGAGGTTACACACCTGGTAATTTGTTCAATTTTCTGTTCTCCTCCTGTCTCTCTTCTCTTTCTAGTTCCTTCATTTCCTTCACCCCATCTGCTCTGTTCATTATCCATTAAGTAATAATGTAATTACTAATTTTATTTAAATACTTTGACAATAAACCCTTACATAACCTTAAATTTTTAAGACTCACTGGGTCAGCTGAGTGGCAGTTGCAGAGTTCCTATTGGCTGGTTGGAACTAAGCTGGTTAGCATAGACCAGTATAGTGAAAATAAGTTGTTTTGCATGTAAAGGTGATTTTTAACATGCTCTTACCATTGGTAATAATTACCATTTTTTTGCATGAATCAGATAAAATAAACTACTTCGGCTACAACAGAAAAATGCTTTGGCACATCTAATTCAACTTTGATTTTTGTGTGACTTAAGGCCGGTTGCACGTATAAAATATGTCATATAAATAGCTCATTTTTAAGGAAATTGTGACTTTAAAACCTTTGGTTTTCATTTCGCGACTACTTGATAGTCATAAATAAGGTCAGAATATATGGTTTAATCAAAATTTACAAATTTTCAGATATGCTCCCGATAAAGAGGACATAATTGCAAAAGGCCTTTCTACTAACTGGTTGTATGATCTAATGGCGAAACTATGGAGTACATGGCTACCCGAGAGCGCACTGAAGACAGTTCGACGACAAGGTTACTACGCTTATTCAGTTAACGCTAAATTAAAGATTATTGGATTAAACAATAATGTTTGCTATAATTTTAATTGGTAAGTAAAAAAAGGATGACAAATCCTATAAATAACTCCAATATAGATATTCCAAAAGTTTTTAAAATAAAAATAATACCAGTACAACATGCTCAGAACATCTGATGTCATAAACTATCATTATCAAAAATATCATCGATAAGTCACTTAAAATCTAAAACAAAAGTTTGTACAGATTTGAAAAGAGTGCCTTTAATCTGAAATTCTACTAAATTCTAATAAACGTGAATATTATTCTAGTTCCGCCATTTCCGCCAGGTATCATGCATGGATAGGTAGAATAGAATAGATAGGAAGAAGGAGAGAAGTACCAAAACAACGCGTCTTAATACTAATCCTCAAAAATCCGCAAACAGTAGAAAGGTTTCAAAACTATATCGAAACTAAACACATAATTCATGAGGACCTAACAATTAGTCAACAATGGGAAATGTGTGAAAATAATATTAAAGAGGCAGCAAATAATATTCTAGGGCCAGAAAGATTACCACCACGTAATGACTGGTTTGATGCTGAGTGTGAGGACATTACAAGAAGAAAGAACGATGCATATAAACTGATGCAGCAAAGAAGAACCCGAGAAAAACAGCAAAAATATAAAGATCTCAGACAAGAAAAGAAGTGCATTCATAGAAGGAAAAAGCGAACTCACGAAAATAGAATATTGAAAGAACTTGAGGTAATAAAAAAGGAAAACCAAACAAGAAAATTCTACAAAACTCTGAATAACGCAAAAAAGGAATTCAAACCCAGGCTCAGACTATGTAAGGATAAGGAGGGGCATATACTAAATACAAAAGAAGAAGTACTGAAAAGGTGAGTGGAACAATTTAAAGAACTACTTACTATAAAAGTAGAAGATCCAGATCCAAATCAACCACCCGGAGGAGCAAGCAACAATTCACCATTAGAACCTCCGTCAATTTAAGAAGTACGAGATGCAATAAAACACCTAAAAAACAATAAATCTCCAGGAAGTGATGGTATACCCGCGGAACTTATCAAATGTGGAGGTGTTTCTGTGACTAATCAAATATATAAAATAATACTGAGAGCCTGGAATGAGGAACAAATCCCGGAAGAGTGGTGTATTGGAATCATTTGCCCGCTACACAAAAAGGGTGACCAATTAGAATGTAGAAACTATAGGGGAATAACCCTCCTTAATACAGCATACAAAATATTTTCGAGGATCATATATGGTCGCCTAAGTACATATTCAGAGGAACTTCTCGGGGAATATCAAAATGGCTTTAGGCCTGGTCGATCAATAACAGATCAGATCTTTGTGCTAAGGCAAATACTGGAAAAAACCAATGAATTCAATATCGATACATACCATCTTTTTGTAGACTTCAAATCTGCCTATGATAGTGTCGTAAGAAATAAATTGTATGAAGCAATGAATGAATTCCAAATGCCCGATAAACTGATACGATTGGTTAAGGCTACAATGCGTAATGTGGTTTGCAAAGTCGAAATACAAGGCGAACAATCACAGGCGTTTGGAACGCATGTTGGGCTGAGACAGAGAGACGCGCTGGCGTGTCTCCTTTTCAACAAAGCACTGGAAAAGGCGATCAGAGATGACCGAATAGACAACAGAGGAAATATTTTTAATAAATCATCCCAAATTTTGGCATATGCAGATGATGTGGACCTAGTTGCCCGCACAACACGCAAGCTAGAAGAAATTTATACCACCTTCTCAAATGCCTCAAAATCTATGGGCCTGCAAGTAAATGAGGAGAAAACTAAGATGATGGATTAACACCCAACAATAGAGCCAGGAACATCGGTCCCCAATTCACGGTTGATAACTCTACCTTTGAAGTGGTTGACAAATTCACATACTTAGGCTCCCTGATCACCAAAGAGAACGCCATAACGGAAGAAATCAAGCGAAGGATAGTAATGGCAAACAGATGCTATTTTGGACTGAGTAGAAATATGAGAAGTAGAAACTTAAGCCAAAAAATAAAAATAACTATATACAAAACCCTTATACAGCCAGTGTTGACATATGGATACCACAGATATAAACAAATATTTGGTGGTAAAGACGTAGTATCTCTTATAAGAATAGGAAGATTAAGATGGGCAGGACATCTAGCAAGATCACAGCAGAACAACCCTCCTAAAAGAATCCTTATGTCACAACCCGTGGGAAGCAGAAAAAGGTGTAGGCCAAAACTCAGATAGAAGGATGGTGTAGATGAGGATGGTAGAAAGATAGGCGCAGCAAACTGGCAACGGTCGGCAATGGATAGGACTGCCTGGCGTAATATACTTGGGAAGGTCGAGGCTCTTTCATAGGGCTGTAGCACCAGAGCTGTAGGCTGTGATGATGATGATGATGATGATGATCATGCTTGGATGATATGGTGGATAATATGGATGATATAATTGTTCTTTGGATTTCTCTGGTAGCAAATTTAATGTCCACACATTTTCCTTTTCTATGATGTCTTTGAAAGTGCATATATCAAGCTTAGAATTAAGCCTCTTCCTCGTGATACTAACTCACCCTAGCTTGCGCCGCTCTCATCGGGTTTTATTTAGCCTTCGTCTGCCTTTAGCCTTTAGCCTTTATCTTTAGGCTCATTGTATAAGTAGTCAAGCGACGTTTCTCTTCTCTTCTTTTGGTCACCATTTCTATAAACTCTTTGTTTATCGCTTATCTCTCATTTAAGCTGTGTCGTGTCCATCTCCATTTTAGTCTGACCTTTCGATGGCGTCAGTCACTTTGGTTCTTCTCCTGATCTCTTCGTTTGTGATTTTTCGATATATTTGAAAGATATGGATCGTTCCTTTACTCTCTGTGCAATTCTCAGTTTGGTGACATCAATAATTGATGTGTAATTAAAACTTTGAAACTTAAAAACTCAATCCAGGATTGCATTCCACACACCATTTAATCTAGGCTTTATAGTTTATGTGCTGTCAAAACAAGGATTGTACAAATCAACTTTACCACCGCATAAAAAGCGTAAAATAAAGTTAACGTGATAGTACTTTTTTTAACTTTCAAATTTCAGGCAATCAATAATTGAAATATAAGAAGCTTTAAAGGTAGGGCGTAGAAAAACATTTTTTAAATCTTTCTCTGCCGTACATACTGTATATTTGTTTGTTTTAGGTGGCTATTATTGGACACGGAATATCTACATGAACAACTACAATTTCTGATTCTAGAATTAGAAGAGTCAGAAAAGAAGGGACAATTCGTACATATACTTGGTCATGTATCGGTCGGTAATCAAGAATGTATAGAGCCATGGGAGGTTAGCTACAATGAAATTGTTAGAAGGTAGGATACAATGTAATGGTTTAATGTTATTAAGGGCTTCCAAAGTCTTAGTATTTTGAGCTCCCAGATCTCTTCACTATATTGTCACTGCTCACTGCACCACTGCTACTGGGGACGAGGGATCTTCTTCTTCGGGTTCCTTCTCCTAGCGAAGGTTGGAAATCATCATCGCTATTTTAACTTTGTTGGCCTGGTATTAATAATTCTAATGAGCTGCAGCCGAACCACTCTCTCAAATTTCTTAGCTAGGACATTTTGCGTCGTCCTGGGTTTCTCCTCCCTTGCATCTTCCCTTGCATAATCAACCTCAGTAATACCTACTTCTCACCCCTCATTAAATGTCTCAGATATTGAATCTTTTCTAATTTTAACAGTTTTTATGACTTCACATTCTTTCTTCATTCTTTGTAACACCTCTATATTAGTTACTTTTTCAATCCACGATATTTTATGCATTCTCCTGTAGCACCACATCTCAAAGGAGTTTAATTTTTTGATTTTAGACTGCTTTATTGTCCACGCTTCCATGCCATATAGTAAAGTAGAGAAGACGTAACAACTTAGCATTCTTGTGCGAATCTCTAGATTAAGGTTACGGTTGCAAAGTAATTTCTTCAATTTTATGAACGTGTTTCTTGCCATTTCTATTCTAGATCTGATCTCCTTTACTTGATCTCCATCTTCGGTTAGCCACGTTCCTAAATATTTATATGTTTTTACTCTTTCTATCGTTGTATTATTGATGATCAGGTTATTTACATTTTGTGGTTTTTTTGAGAATATCATTGATTTCGTTTTCTTGAGATTCATTTGCAGTCCGTAACTTTCACATGCATTGTATACATGTTGTATTATGTACTGTAGATCTTCCATGTCACTTCCAAATATGACAGTATCGTCGGCATATCTAATATTATTAATGCTATTTCCGTTGACATAAATACCTTCCACGATATCCAATAAAGCCTCTTGAAAAATCACTTCACTGTAGACGTTGAATAAGAGTGGTGAAAGGATACACCCTTGTCGAACTCCTCTAAGTATACTTACTTCCTCTGTCAGTTCTCCTTCGACTCTTACTCTTGCTTTCTGGTTTTGATACAGATTCGATATAATTTGTAGATCTCTACTATCAATGTTTTTAGTCTTAAGAATACTTAAAAGCTTCTCATGTTGAACTCTATCAAAAGCTTTCTTGAAATCTATAAAGCAAGCATATATGTCCTGATTCATATCCAGGCATCGTTGTGTCAGAACATGGACTCCAAATAATGCTTCTCTAGTTCCGAGACCCTTTCTGAAACCCATCTGTGAATCACTTATTTCTTGTTCTAATTTCATGTGGATTCTGTTATGTATGATTTTAAGGAAGGTTTTCAATGTGTGGCTCATTAACGCAATTGTTCGATAGTCATTGCAATCGTTAGCATTTGTGATTTTTTAATCGTCACAAAAGTTGAGAGAAGCCACTCTTTGGGTATGTGTCCCGTCTTGTATATGGAGTTAAAAAGGTCTACAAAGACATCAATATTATCTTCATTAATTATCTTCAATAGTTCAATTGGTATTTCATCGGGTCCTGGAGCTTTTCTGCCTTTTGTGTGTTTTATAGCATACATAACTTCCTCTTTCATTATTTCTGGTCCCGTGGTTTCTCCGTTATCCTCTAATAATTGTTCTACTTTTTGATCATAAAATAGTTGTTCAATGTATTCTTTTCATCTACGTAGTTTGTCTTGCGTTTCAGTTATAGTGGTACCATCTGCATTTTTTAATATCCCGATTGGTTTGTTACGATTTCCTAAAATCATTTCTTTAACCTTCTTATCGGTGTTGAAAGTGTCATACCTTGCCTCACATTCCTCGATTTCTTGACATTTAATGGACATCCATGTTTCCTTAGCTTGTATTATTTTCTGTTTTATTTGTTTATTAATTTCTTGATATTTAATTTTATCTTTGTTTTTATGTGTTCTTCTTTCGTCCATCTTTTCGAGAATTTCTTGTGTCATCCATTCTTGTTTGGCAGCTTTTGTAAATGTTAAAGTTTTCCGTCCCACAGTCTCGATTGCGTTCTTTATATTCTTCCACTTTGTGTCAATATCTGTAGTGTTCTTATTTTGTTGTTTTATTTCTTGGATACTCTGATTTATTTTGTTTTGAGTTTCTTGGTATGTATTTGGTTCTCTTAACTTATCAATGCATATTTGTGGTCTAGATCTTTTCATTAATGGTTTTTTCAATCTTACATTCATATTTGCTACTACTGGGTTGTGGTCCGAGTTTACATCTGCTCCAGGGTAAGTCTTCACTACTGTAATAGAGTTCTTGTACCTGTTCCTTATAAAGATGTAATCTATCTGATTTCTTATGATTCTATCTTTGCTGTCTCCAGGAGCTTTCCACGTGTAGAGCCGGCGATTTGGTAATTTAAACATTGTATTCATAACTACTAGTTTTTCTATTTGGCACATCTGAATTAGTCTTTCACCACGCTCATTTCGCTCTCCCAATCCATACATTCCAACACAACTATCCACACTTCCTCTGCCCACTTTGGCATTAAAGTCACCCATTAGTATCAGAACTTCACGTTTTTTTGTTGTTTTCATTATTGTTTCTAATTGCTCGTAGAAGTCTTCTATTTCTTGGTCCTCCTTATCAGCTGTTGGTGCATATACTTAAATAACATTCATTTCCCCTATATTGGTGTTAATTTGTAGCATTATAATGCGATTCGAAAGCGGGGTGAAACCAAGTACGGATTTATCTATTTCCTTGCTTACCATTATGGCCACACCATAACGATTTGTTCTATCAGAATATCCACTATAATATATAGCTCCGTTTCAAGTCCGTTGTTTTCCAGACCCTGGCCATTGTACATCGCTTATTCCTAGAATTTCGATATTTAATCTTTCCATTTCTATCGCAGTATTATCTACTTTACCTGATTGTAGTAAGCTTTGCACGTTCGATGTTGCAATTCTCATATTTCCTCTTGTGGCAATTTTTAAAAGTGTTCTATTATTTACATCACAGGGATTTCGCTGGCTTACGACCTGGGAAGCCCTGTGGCTAACTAGTGATTTACTTCCCCTGCCGGATCTTGGTTTCCGCGGCTCATGATCAGTAAGGTTACTCATTTGGTTATTGCTAGCCATGATTATTGTACTAGGGTTGCTCTTGTGAGCCTTTACTACAGTGGTTTCCCGTGGCCTTCTGTAGCCTTATGTCGTTGACCATCTTCCTGGTTCATCCGCCTTTGAGACCGATTTCTCAATCTCAGGACAAAAGAGTGTCCTTCCACTAACCAGCTCGTCCGCCCGAAGCCGTTGACCAGAAGGTGGGGGATTGCTTATACCGGCAATCGCTCGGTGGTTTTTCGCCATATCTGGCTACCCTCACTTAGTTTAGCCTGCAGACCAATGCAGTTGCCCGGGGTGTGGCACGTGGAGCCATAAGTGAGAGTTAGGTGTCTTATGAGGACCAGTTATCAAGAACCATCTCCCGTCTATGACGCTCGATGTGTCAGGGATACGGAATAACTATTCCTCTTGCTTATGATACCCACATAATCATTTTTTTTTACTTATATAATTGCAAAAAGAAGTTGTTTGAGAAAAAAATTACATATCTTTTAAACTAATCAATGAATGACTGGAATTTTGGTAATATTTTTAACACTACAAGACCCAACTTTCCACATAATATCAATGTTTTAGGTTCACGTTTACAGTGGTTATTAACATTTATTGAAAATGAAGAATTTTTAGGTTTTTTATAGTTTTTTATACATAGATAACGACATTGTTTTGTTGACCATAGGAATTAAGATTTATTGAAATCCCATCTCTAGAGTATATTTATTATAATGCTCTAAAACTAATTTTTTCTTAATTTTTTTAGCCTTAATAGCAGTACAAATAAATATGTGAGTAAATAAATAATATGCTTTATTGTCACTGAAAATTGTACAAATTTTATCGACAAAGCTTATAACAATAAGACAAGAAAGAAGGAAAAGATCAGAATAAGAACCATTTGTACTTTTAAATAAAAAAAAACAATAAAATTCTTCAAAACTTAAACATAAAAAATACTACCTAATTAAGAACCTACAAACTTCGTAAAAAATACCTAACAAATAATAAAAATTAGGAAAGCAGATTAATTAATTAAGGGCTCAACTATTCCACCTCCTTGTGTTAAACAGTAACCAAATCTGTCATACAGATGTCTCCTCATATTTTGAAGTAGGGCTGGTGTAATGATTGTAGAGAAATGAAATATTTTTGCCCTCAATTCGACTAGGTTTGTAGCCCTTTCAAACTGATGCCTATAAATGTTTTCTTTGAGAAAACCCCAAAAAAGAAATCGTTAGGCGCTAAGTCACAGGATCTAGCGGGCCATTTAATTGTACCACGTGTACTTATCAGTCGATCAGGAAACATTTGATTGAGGAAGTAAATAGTTGCTCTAGAGTTGTGAGCCGAACACCCATCCTGTTGGAAATAAATCTTCTGAAAACTAACGGGAATGCGTCTAACTGCCGGAATGACCTCATTCTGTAAAAGTTGTAAATATTTGGGCCCGTTTAGGTTTCCATCGATAAAAAATGGACCGACAATATGGTCGCCTAACATCCCAGTCCAAACATTTAACTTTTATGAATGCCGCGTTCGCACTGCAACACTGAGGTGCTTATTTTTCCAAAAATATTACCTTGCAACAGATGGATTGTGTTTTTTATTTAATGAAAATGAAGATTCGTCAGAAAATAAAATATTTTTTAAATGTGTACATTTTTATTCCGTTTATCTTAGGGAGAGCGCCCACCAAACTGGCATGGCAAGTGGTAAGTAGCAAGTAGCACGTAGCAAGTAGCGCGCGTTTGAAATAACATGATAGATGCGTGCTACTTGCTACTTGCCACTTGCCATGATAGTTTGGTGGGCGCTCTCCCTAACATAAATTCACAAAACTCCATCTGCCTAAAGTTATCTTCCGGAAACAGTTCTTGTGTTGGTGGTATCTTAAAACACACTATTCTTCTTTTGAGAACAACTTGCTGGACAGTTCGAGCATTCACGTTAACTTTCCTAGCAGTTTGTACACTATTGCAGGGTTCACTAGCTTCCACAAAAGCACAAATATCAATATCCCTGTTTTGACGCTCCAAATCGACAGATCTAACACGTGGTTCATTACCTTCATGACACTTTCTACAACTGTTTACACATCCCGAAGTTTGAAAATGTTTAATGGTATTTTTAACTGTTGTAACACTTGGTGAGGGTCTATTTTCAAAGGCAACAATAAATAAATCAATTACTTCGCGTATCGAATGACCCTGAAAGTACCATGTTACAAGTTGCACTTTTTCTTGGACGGTATACAACGAAATAGGAATTTTATTAATTATTTGTTTATTCTTTCAGAACTTCGTTTGAAATTTTTAATGTCAATGTGACAACTACGACAATTCGTACCTACTATGAAATGAAAATAGAGGTGGAAATGTGTAACATGTCACAGCGATTACCATTGTGTTGGATTGTGTTGTATGGTCAATAAAACAATGTCGTGGTCTGTATAATAAATCTCATCTCTAATAAACTAATTAAAGTAATAAACATTCATAAATAACTATTCTAAAGTTTTAAACGTTTTTTATTAAATAGTTAACTAAAATTTTGTTTACTAGAAAGTCTCAATTACTCAATTTTTGTTTAAAATTGGTAATAATGATTTAAGACATACAGTGAAACCACTGCAGAAAACATAAAAGTTTAAGTTATTGAGGTAAAACTCAAAAAGCTAAGATACATGGCCGGATCAATATCTCTTTTTTGAGCATTTTCAGAGCATTTTCTGTAATATTTTGTAACGACAATATTGCTTACCACAGGGTACGAATATGGGGGGTAGAAGATTGGGCAAACAAAATAATCGAAACAAGTGCGAACGACACTCAGTTGCTTGTTGGAGAGCTGGGTCGTGGATAAGTTGAAATATGGGGGTTGGATTGGGGTATCTACTAAAATGAAAATAAAAGGAATACTTACATAAATCTCCTGGGCAATTGATATAACAAACAAATCAAAAATAGACTAGGAACACCTCAAGGAATTTAATATAGGGCGCCACTTGAAGGATCCTAGTTTACTGAAGGAAAGAAAAACTTCTTCTTCCCTAATGTCTAAAATACATAAAAAGGGTTTAGGAGATTTTTCTAAATAAAAATAAAAAAATAGGTTAGAGAAACAAATCTAACGTTTAGATATTATTGTCTCAAACAGTTTTCAAAAATACAGCTTATACAAAAGGCATACTATATAAAAGTAGTTGTCAAATACAAATAAAGAAACTTACTTGTTATCTGTTTACAAAAAGGTTACAAAAACCCTCGAAATGGTTCCTACTAAATAACGTGGCCAAATTAAACTGTCATACGTCAAAACAAACATTTTTAAGACAGGATAAAATTATGACCGATGACAGTTTAAACCACGCCCTAATATAATATTTATTTTAATTACAAATTAAAAAAAAAATATTTATAAAAGAAAGCAAATTTTGTCTTTTTAAAAGAAAATGTCTATTTTTACTTTAAAAATTAATAACGTAAATGTTACCTCAGTTCACACATGTTAACTTAAACTTTTGAACAACTGGCTAATAGGTATTTGTGGGGTATTTAACTGAACATCAACGGAAAACTTTCTTGGAGGCTGAAACTGGCACACTGGCACATTCAAATCAAAACTGCTTCAATATCATTCTACGTGAGGTGAAGAGGCATCTTGGAAAGGAACTGGATTTCTCAAAAAAAAAAAACGAAAAGAAAGCAGGAACTAAATTTGTTCACTTCTCATTTATTATAAATCTTCAGCAAAATCAAAACAGTGGTTAGTGGTCACTCTTTCAAATACGACATATTACATAGAGTGAAAATTCCACCATTTTTGGCGAATTAATGCCGGGTTACCACATCACAATTAAACGACCTTTCCCTTCGAGCAATTCTTCATCACTCACTCTCTTGACCTCGATCTCAACCTGCCGGATAAATACCGCCTCTCTTTTCCCCGCACAAGCATTGCTATCTTGTCAAATCAACAAATTCTTTACTCAAACTCGTCCAAACTTCCGGCGTTACTACGCTTTAGAAAAAAGAATACCAGGCTTGCAATATTTTTCTGGGAACGTTGAAGTTAAAAAGCCATAAATTGTTTTCCTTAGCAAATACGTCTTTATTTATTGAAGAATTATTGCGCATTTAAAAATCTCTACAGACAACACATTTCTAGCATACGAGGGGCGTACTATGACAAATATAGAATCGAATTTATATTATTATTTAGACATTAAATATAAAACGCTACAATTTACTGTAGCAGTGATGATTACCAACTTCTGTAACGAAGATGACCATTGGAGAAGGAGAAACTTTGTATTTTTTTAACTTTTTGATGATCATAGGTTTTTATATGGATTATTTTTATAGATACGCTCACATTATAAAAGGGCAGTTTGTTGGCCATACCCATACTGACGAATTAAAAATATTCTATGACGCGAATAAGAAACCTATTAACATGGCTTTCAATGGAGCAAGTTTAACACCGTACGTAAAGTACAATCCAAATTACAAAATACTGACTGTTGATCCGGTCACCATGGTAAGTTTATTTTAATTTTCTAGACGTATTGGTAAGTTGGCATGGATATTGATGAATAATTATCTTTCTGCAAGAATTGATTGTAACCTATCCAACAGGAGATTTTTTAAAAACCGTAAATCATCGATAGTATGCTAATAAGACTACATTATAATGCGCTCCCTAACTTTCGCGTGATTGATTGGTGGGTGGGTCCCAATTTAAAAATTGGCGGATTTCATGTTTATTAAAATGACAATAAAATTGAGGTATTGTGGCACAGTATATCGCTAAACAATTTATTAGCACTATATTGTGGTATTTGTACAAAGCGGATGATATTCACATTTTAGGATTAAGCTGACTAGTACAGTTTTATTAGAAATTAAAATTTATTTTTCTTTTGACATTATGTAGGTAAAATTAAATTCAGACATTGTGTTTATTTAATTTTGATATGCTAGTGATGCTTTTTTTATTAGATATATAGATATTGTTTTAATTTTTTTGTTTAGGTAATTTTTTATTAAGATTCTTTTATTAGGATTATTAAGATAGAGGTTCCTCTTATTATTTTTATTTCTAGAACATTCATTACCATTATTATTCTCATTAGCTTTCTCTATGTGGAATCGGCTTCTCTAAATATTTTCCTCTAAACTTTTCTGTTCTCTTCCAGGGACTAAGTACCTCTCCGCTTTTTGTATGAGATTATGGTTTTTCAGAAACATTTAATTTCTGTTCATCCCCTTTTTTACTGCCGTACATTCAGTAACATACATCATAGCTGGTCTAAAGGCAGTTCTATACAATTTAGGAGAGCTTTAGAGGGGTTTTCCTTCGCCATTGCACCAATAACGGCCCCCCCTCCTTTGATTTCCCAGATTTTTAATAAAGAATAAAGATATTTTAGATATAGCTATTTAGTGTTTTATTTGGTTTTCAATCGTTATTTCCAGTAAACCTCTGCTTCATTTTGTTGACAATGACGATTTTTCATAGCACTCAATTCACAATATATCTTTTTATTATCCTACATTTGTGGAAAAATCTAACAGAATTCAGTGTAAGGTTCTAAAAAATGAAAATGGATAAATGTCAATTTGGATTTAGGCAAGGCAGGTCTACACAAGCAATTTTTATTAAAAGAGCTAATTTAACAATTTAGAGTGAATTTACATTGTATTATTAAACTTGAGAAAGCACATGATGAAGATATCAGAAACCTACTGTGGCAGAGATTAAGTAGGAACGGAGTGCCGGCTGAATATGTGAGTGGAGTATCAGCAAGTAACAACTATAATAGTGTTAAAACAACTATTATAGTTTTAGAACGATTACAGGTGAAACTGGCAAATTTTGTGTAAAAATGGGTGAAAATCAGGGTTTTGCCCATATTTATTCTCATTTGTGCTGGATTAGATATCAACTGAACCTCCTGGGTATTAGTAGAAAAGAGTAGCAGAGAAAGGTCCTTGAAGAAAAATGATTAAAATTAAGTTGGATAAAACAAAATATTTAGAATATTCTTTTAAAGATGAAATTTTAAGACCAGATAGAGTAGTTGGCTTGGATAGACAAGAACTCATAAAAGATGATAATGTTCGGCTTTTAGGATTGGTATTACCGTTTTATCTCTAATACTTCAATTAAAGGTAAAGGAAAGAGGCAAATTGAGTGATGTATGATAAAAAAGGTACCAAGAAAACTAAAAGGTAAATTGTATAGGACTGCCTTTAGACCAGCTATGATGTATGGTACTGAATGTAGGGCAGTAAAAAAGGGGATGAACAGAAATTACATGTTTCTGAAAAACCATAATCTCATACAAAAAGCGGAGAGGTACTTAGTCTCTGGAAGAGAACAGAAAAGTTTTGAGGAAAATATTTAGAGAAGCCGATTAAACATAGAGAAAGCTAATGAGAATAATAATGGTAATGAATGTTCTAGAAATAAAAATAATAAGAGGAACCTCTATCTTAATAATCCTAATAAAAGAATCTTAATAAAAAATTACCTAAACAAAAAAATTAAAACAATATCTATATATCTAATAAAAAAAGCATCACTTGCATATCAAAATTAAATAAACACAATGTCTGAATTTAATTTTACCTACATAATGTCAAAAGAAAAATAAATTTTAATTTCTAATAAAACTGTACTAGTCAGCTTAATCCTAAAATGTGAATATCACCCGCTTTGTACAAATACCACAATATATTGCTAATTGTTTAGCGATATACTGTGCCACAATACCTCAATTTTATTGTCATTTTAATAAACCTGAAACCTGCAAATTTTTAAATTGGGACCCACCCACCAACCAATTTAGTCTAGGCTAATAGGTCTATTTGATTTAATGTCTTCTGTAGGTTTGCCTGGTTTAGGAAATACAATAATTTGTGCCACTTTCCATGGAATAGGGTAATAACCAGTTCTTAGGATTACATTGAATACCTGTATCAAGCACAGAATTCCTTTTTTGGCGAGTTCTTTGAGGATTTTGGCTGTATCAGGTCGTATCCAAGAGACTTTTTATGGTTTCTTATGGTTTTTATGATTGTATTTTCTGGTGAACTTGTTTGGTAGCGAATTTTTCCAAGGGTTGTTCTAGTTGATATGGCGATTCTAAAAACAACATTGTCCTTCTTCTTCTTAACATGCCATACACCAAAGTGCGTAGGCGACTATCTCATTACTAGAATTCTGTTCTTGGCGGCGTGACACAGCTCACCTGTATTGTGTATTCCTGTCCATTCTTTAATATTCTTTAACCAGGATAATTGTTTGCGGCCGGCTCCTCTCCTACCTTTGATCTTCCCTTGTAGGATTAACTGTGGTATTTCATATTTTGCTCCTCTCAATATGTGCCCAAGGTAACCAATCTTGCGTTTTTTAATTAATTCAAAGAGTTCTCTTTCCACGCCGGCTCTATTAAGGACGTCATCGTTTCGAACTCTATCCACCCAAGGTATGCGCATCATTCTTCTCAATGACCACATTTTAAATGCTTCAAGTTTGTTGATAGATGTTTTTTTCAAAGTCCACGTTTCCATGCCATAAAGCAAGATGGAGACCATATGTAGCACTTGGCCATTCTGTAGCGTATTTCGAAGTTTAGGTGTTGATTACATAGGAGCGGTCTGAATTTCACAAAAGCTTGTCTTGCCATTTGTATTCGGGTTTTTATCTCGTGTTGTGGACCCGATTGGTCATTGATTGTGGTGCCAAGGTATTTAAAAGTTTTCACGCGATTTATACGATTGTCACCTATGCATATTATCGGGTTTTCTGGAGGGTTTCTGCTAATGACCATATATTTCGTTTTCAAAATGTTGATTTTGAGGCCATATTTTTTACCTATGCTATTCACCCTATCAAGTAATAACTGCTGATCTTCCAAATTATCAGTTATAATCACTGTGTCGTCCGCATAGCGTAGGTTGCTAATTGGTATGCCGTTCACCTTAATGCCTAATTCCGTATCTTCTAATGCTTCCGCAAATATATTTTCAACATATAAATTAAAAAGCATCGGAGAGAGTATGCAGCCTTGGCGGACACCTTTCCGGATTTCAAATTCATCCGTATATAGATCTTGATCAATCCTCACCTTTGCCATTTGATTCCGGTATAAATTCTGAATAATTCTGATCTCCTTCTGCTCAATGTTGGCCCTATGTAGTAGTTCCATCATGATATCATGTTTCAACATTGTCCATAATGCTCTAATTTAACATCCAGAATAATGATTTTAAACTGTTTGTTCTTTTTTCTTTTGTGTTTCTTTTTTCATGTATCTGTTATTTGTATTATTGTATGCGAATGTTTATCACATTCTTGAATGTGTGGGATAACCTACTATTTTTAACGAAACGCCTTTGAAGATGCACTTTGATGGAACGTTCTTTGGCAAGAATTAATAAAGAACTGTGTCTTATATCTGATATTCCCAATTTTGATATCCTGTAATATTCCTAGTGATCGTCTTCCTATTGAGGGCCATCTCTTACCGTCTTCACTACTTTATTTGATGTCATTCGGCTTATATGATCCTTCCATTCTACTCTTCTATTTCTTACCTAGTCCTCGACGTTCTCCAACTTGCATCTACATCGTATATTTGTACTTCTAGCTCTGTCCCATAGTATCTTACCATAAATGTGTTCATCTCTGCTGTTTCTAATATTCTTTTTGTCTCAGTGAGGACTCAGTGAATCTTCCTGTCTTATCTCATTGCCAGTTTAAATAGGGCTTTTATTGTGTTGTTTTGGTAGATATTTTTTATCGTTTTGATTATTTCCAAAGGTATCTTTCTTGCGTACAATAATTAGATGACCCAAAAACACTGCTATCACGCGTTAAATAGCTGAAATAAAGTTAACAGAAACTAGGGCAACTGACTTGGTGGGATATTCAATCTGTATTCACCCTAGTATATAATTTTTTAGAACACATAATATTTTTTATTTTTAGGATATCCTTGACATTGACACATATTATTTCAATTTAACCGAAGCTAATCTTCACCCAGATACAAGTCCTGCATGGCAAAAGTTATATTCTATGAAAAAAGCCTACGATCTACCAGATCTATCACCGAAAAGTTTTGATGTACTGGCAGATAAGCTCTTTAATGATACAGATTTAGCGAATTTATACTTTGAGTAAGTTTATTTTTTATAGCTATATTTAAATTACACTGTGTTTATTGGCTCGAGATGCCTCTTAGGCTTAAGGTACAGTTGCGGTCACGGAATAGTTTACAGGTTCACGTATCTAGGAGCCCATTTTTTAAATTTTTACTTCGTTTAAACGCACCTTTTACGTCAAAGTGACGTTGCCAGTGGTGTACTAGCTAGAATAGGTAGATTAAAATTAAAATATCAAAATATTTTACAAAATGAAAAATATAGAAAACAGTTTTTTGAATAAAATGGATTATGATCTTAATAACGAAAATAAAGAAGTCTTTTTTTTTAATATGCATTTTATTTTAAATCTATTTTATATTAAATAACGATAAACAATGATAAATAATAATTAATATTTGGTGGAAGCCCCATTCTTGTCAATACAATTTTGCAGTCTTCTGTTCATAGATAGCACCAATCCCCTCATGTTATAGTTAACAAGCTCTTCCCATGCCTGCTCAATTGCTTCCCATAATTCAATTCTATTCCGTGGTCTAAGGTTTCTTTCATTTAGTTTCTTTGTTAACTCTGCCCACACATTTTCGACGGGGTTAAAGTCTGCACTACGGGAAGGCCACGGAAGAACATTAACATCAGTCTCTTCTAGCCATTCTCGAACAATTCTACTCGTATGCACCGGGCAATTGTCATGTTGGAAGATAAAGTCGTTGTTGGGGAATCTCTGGATCACCGATGGCAACATTGTGTACTCAATAATTTGTTTGTAATATAATCCTGTTAACTTCTCCTCTACATGATAACAAACGCCCGGGCCTTCGGCACTTATCCATCCCCATATGTTGACAGAGAATCCTCCACTATTTCTTAAATGATGCGTATACTGTTCATCATACCTATGATTTCTCGGCCTATAAACTCTTATTCGACCATTATTATACGACTGAAATACTTTTTCATCGGAAAATACAACCCTAGACCAAAAATTCTCATCGCGGTTTATAAATTCATTACAAAATTCAACTCGTCTCCTCTTGTGATCCTCAGTCAAAAAAGGTTTCCGTGCAGCTACAAAATTTAGCAGTCCACTTGCTTTAATTCTTCGACGTGCAGTGCGAATACTGCCTGGAAACGCTGCCTCTTCTCTTGCCTTTTGAGCTGTGGCAAAAGGAGATTCTCTCAAATAATCTACTAACATTTCATCCTGTTGATCTGTGGAAATCTTCTGCCCTCCTGAACTGCCCAACCGTGCTATAGAGTGAAAATTATCCCATCTTTGTTTAATCTTCCATATGCACATATGACTCACGTTCAAATCAGCAGCAACTTGCCTTAGTGACCAACCTTCTTCGAGTTTGGCAATTGCTCTTGCTTTTTGCGCATAATTAAAATGTATTCTAACCATTTTGGAAGAGTTTAATATACTTTTATTTTATTGTTGAACACTCGCGAAAGCATTGACGTTTTGAAATTTTTTTACTTTGACATTTATCAAATCCGTACGACACTGCAATTTTACAGTATTACAATATAAAAAGTAAGGTGTAAACTATTCCGTGACCGCAACTGTACATAAAACATATTTTGCAATATTATACTTCACAAAATTCAACACTATGTAACATATATACAAGTTACATTACATTGCAACCAACAATTTCAAAACAAAAAGATTTTTTGTTTTCTTTATTATTTGGTTCCATCGTATGACTATTTTTGTTTATTCACCTCTAATAGTTTGCAGTAAAGAACTTTAATACCTTATAGACTTTTTACCGCACTATCATATCTATTCCGTGAGCTCCCTTTCTTCCTTGTCCCTATTGGTCATATGCTTAATACTCTTTTTGGCATTGTATCTCTATCTTATATCCTTTACACGTGCTTCAAACATCGCAGTATTTGTGTTCTTGCAAAAGCCCTGGTATATTCCTTTTTATATTTTTAAAAAACATACAAAAGATAAAATAATTCACAATTGTATTTCGGTATAAAAAACATATAGTTAGAACTTTTAAAAAATGTCAAAATTTATATAGTAGCATAACGTTTTCGATTTAATCAAATCATCCTCAGTGCCTTCTTATGTAGTTGAAGCTAACACTAAATTTGCAGCTGTGACATCCATATATGGTTTTACATCAATCCAAATTTAAATTGTATTGTAACTCTAGGTCGATGACATTGGATAAAAATTAATACTTGAAGAGCTACATGTCTTGTTGCTCTATTTTAACACGTGGTTCTAGTCAGTTAAAATAATCGTTTTTAAACTGTTAAGTTACTAGACTGTTAAATGTTATAATCTGTTGTGTTTTCAGGTACTACGTCAGGCGTGGTGATGCATCTCTTAAAGACGGCTGTGATAAAAATTGCCTTGATGACATTCGTTGCAAAGTTGTTACTACACATTCTCTACATCCTCAAAAACAACAATGCCTTAACTAATATGTTTTATTAATTTATTGTTATTTTAAAATTAGAAGAATAAAATTTATTATTAAGCAATTGAACTATTATTTTTCTAGTGGCAAAGTATCCACAAAGTATCAATATTATACACACACAGTCTACAATAGTGACAACCCCGCCCCCCCCCCGCCCACAGCATAGATCGGAGATCCTTCTACTATACGCTGATGACACTACTCTCCTCACGTCAGGATCACACAGAGACCATTGTCTGTATTCAAGAGCACAAAACTTTCTAGACAGAGTCATTAGGTGGTGCAATAAATGTAAACTGACCATGAATCCCTCCAAAACAGAACTAATTATATTCAAATCTTTAAATTGTCGCGAGGTCTGCGCCCGAATAACTCTGTTAGTACAAGACATTATTCTCAGAAACTCGATTTCCTATTTGGGAATTCATTTTACCAGAGCTATCAACTGAAAAACCGACATTCAACAAACCCTTGACAGCGCTATCCAGCAAATGGGGCAAAAGGCATCTTAAACACTATTACACACCTATAAAACATTCATGACTCATCATCGAATACAAAGCATGTATCTACGCCTCTATCAAACCTTATAAAATTAATACCATCGCAGCCACTGAAAGAAAAATTCTCACATCCTGCATGAGGGTAACAGAATCCTGTCTCTCAGCAGGAGGTATGTCCTTCGAACCATCACAGGCTCAAACAACCAAGCAAAACAAGTACTAAAGACACCTTGCAATCGCCGAGGGCTAATACTCACCAGGTATCCACAAAGAACAATTCCCACTAGCTACACTTCTACATATCACTGGACACGAACTCCCTGATGAGTATTTTGAAATTTTAAAATCAACCTCAATTAAACCTGCACACCAAAAATGCTGATTAAGAGCTGTTCCTACAGTATTATTAACCCCTGAAGTACCTTCTTCGACATGTTTGGCATAAGTCACCCAAAATTTCTTTTGTGCAATTCTAACAAATCATCCACACAAATACGCCATCTTCTGAACCCCAACTTCTTAGTAGTCCACTACTTTTCTACACAACACATCAGAAATCACGTTTACCACACTACCACTACTCCGATAAAAAAAGGTATCCCTTCCTTGAAGAAGCATTAAGCCTAGACATGGTTAAAACTCTGAGGTCAGCCAAATCAGTCCCCCACTGATTCTCCTAGAGGCTCTGCACCAGCTATATTTCTATACTCTGAGGCTGAGATTTATTTTAGTGCTTTTATTTCGACTTGTAAGAAAGTTTTGTCATGTAAGAAATATCTAGTCTTTGTCAAGACACCAATCCAATATTTTCACAAGTCCATACCCGAAAATGGACTTGGGCAGAGGATTCTTCGTCTACGATGGTCGAAGCCCTCTGCAGAGCGTACGAGAACCAGAAGGTGCTAATACCCCTTTATATCCGGCGAGACGACACTCTGCGGTCCTGGCTATTATAATAAAATAACACGTCTGAGCAAGCTAACAGCGACCTCTATATAAAGCAACAAGAAGTCAAGAAACCTCTCTTCGATAGAGAATAACGTGAACCGCAAATCCAAAGATTATTAGAACCTATTGGACGGTGCTAAACACTATATTTCCTTCTTAAAGAAAAGGCTTTCTTTTAGTTCGAAACGTTCTACACGTGTTTCGAGTAATTCAACTCTCATCAGAAACATCTATGACTGTTTTAGTAGGAGTAGCCATAACTGTTTCCTATAAATCTCACACAACTAACAATCAGGTAGGCAAATATAATTTTTTCTCTGTATTTTCCTCTTTCAGTTCATATACTACAATCATAATATGGGATTGCATTTTCTTTTCTCATAAAAATACCAGAAAACACTTAAAATTCATAATTACACAACTTTAAACTTCTCAAGTTCCCACTGAACTGATTTATGTAGGCGTCAGCGACAGTGCATTAAATGATCCACCTATTTCATTTAAATGAGTCGATTTACGGCAGATAATTGGTTATTTACTTGACCAATTACTTCACGATATCGTCTACAACGCTTTCAATGTGTTTTTTTGTCAACTAATAAAATTGAAGTATGTGATTCATTGTGTCTATTTGGTTCAAAGAATATTTTAAAGGCTGGACATCTAAAATTATTGCTTTTTGTGATTTATCGATAACGAACCTGTCTTTAAAATGTATTAATTGGGTAAAAAAGGAAAATAGGAACAGTTATTTTATGATTTGTATATTAACCCATTAGCGCCGAGAAAAGAAAATTCTTTTTATATGCAATAATTTTATTTAATACCACGTAAAAACAACTTATTTTTGTTAAATTTAAGCCGAAATAAAACAAGTTCTTTTTTTTTGGATAAAAAGATGGTGTCATACGGGACCACTAGATATTTGGCAAGATGAAATATTGAAACAATTCATTAATTTGTCCCATTTGTATAAAATGGTTTAAAACATGAAATGCAAAGCCCAACTTTGCATTTTTCACACATTATACGCCCTTTTGAACTGCAAAATGGCATGGCGCACCTCTTTCTTTTGCCCTCAGGTACAGAGATAACCCAATGATCCTTGCAGTCAAACCTGACGCAGTCAGACCCTCGAAAATCACTTCCTGCTGCTCTACCTATTTTTCCAATCCTTTTAGCGGGGACTTTATATATGTCGTTAGGTATGTCTAAAAATTGAATAAATCGTAAACGTTTTTTGAGTTTTATATAAAAATACTTTTATCTGACAAATACTTCTTCTAAACTCTAAGAGACTAATATTCTTCCCAGATTTCCTACATACCGTCCAAGCGTTTTGCTCTTTTACCTTTGTTTTACCTCTATGTTTAGTGTTTTACCTCTATGAGGTACCTAAATATTGGCCAGTACCATTTTTTGGAACGTATGCCGGCTCGGTTGTCGGCAAAATAATTACCCATATATGTTCATTCATATTAATATGGCTCTTTATTTCTTACCAAGATATATTATTGTCCATGAGATCAGTTCCTCCCATGCTGTTATTATACTGCGAAAGAAGATATGGCCTAGGTACTTGTATTGTCTTGCTATCCTTTTTGGAATATCTGTCCACATTTTTGACCGGCTAAACACCAAAACATGTGCTTGCAGCTATTACAACTTTGTTGTCCCTCCAGCGAACATCCATTGAATACCAGTCTCCTTATTCAGTGATGAACAATACTCCCCTCGTGCTATCTTTACCATCGTCCCTTTGGAAACAAGTGGAAAATTTCTAGAAATTCTATTATTCCTCGCAGTACCTGTAACCTCGTACCTATTAGCTTTTAGAGTACGTAAAAAGTTTGTACTGGTAAATAAATGATTAACGAAAAACTTGTATCTCAGAGATTGCGCACAATATCTGAGATACAAGTCCCTGAAATTTGATTCAGGCAGCTCAATAAAAATGTCTGTTACATCATCTTCTTCATATGCGATATCTAAAGCTTTCTGTCCACTGAAATTATAATAAGATATGTTTTGACTACATAACCGCCTAGTGGGTCCATATGAATACAGCAATATTTACATGAATTTTTAACTGCCCCTTGTAATTTTGATACAAAAATATGCACACTTGGCTATAGAAGGCTATATAGCTAGGCTATAGCTAGGCTATATATGAAGAAGGAACCAGAGATTGTGTTTACGATCAAACGCATAAAATTGCAATATCTGGGACACGTTATGAGAAATTAGCACCGTTACTCCCTGCTACAGTCTATATTGCAAGGTAAAGTCAAAGGTAAGCGTGGACCCGGTAGAAGGAGAATATCATGTCTGCGGAATTTAAGAACATGGTTTAAGAAATCCTCAACGAAGCTGTTTCGAGCCGCAGCGAGCAAGGTTATGATTGCCAATATGATTTCCAACATCCCAAACGGATAGGAACCAGAAGAAGAAGAAGGCTATACTTTAAGATCTTTTAAAATAAGTCAAATTGATTTGATCCTAGCATTCCCAAAAAAAGGTACTAAAAATGTGCTTACATAAATCGGATGTCCATTATCAAACACTTTTTACTATAACATGATTTTCTAACTTCCTTATCTTGTGAAATCTAATAAAACACTAATGAGTATTCATCAACGCAAGTTCGGACAAGTCTAAATAAAGTATACATGCGGTAAATGTAATGTTGGTTGCCTGTTTTATTATAATTTTATTGTGTTAAACAATACCTTTACAACTGGGTCCATATGGTGACCGTAGGCGCTAATGGGTTAATTAAAATATTTGTAGATATTCCTCTCAATCATCTTGAAAAATTTTAATTTGTTAGTCAAATTTTGATTTTTTTTTGTTAAATTAATTCATTGAATTAAGAATAGTTAAAAATTCTTATTGCAATATTAATCTAAAAACAATAAAATATGCAAACCATTGTTTGTATCAGTCAATAATTAATAAGTACTGATACGGTTATATTATAAACTCTATAAAATATTACAATGTAATTAAGTATTCAAACATTACATATATATTTATTATACCAGTCGTATAAGTGCGATAAATATCAAGTGTTCTTTCCTAATCTCAAAATTTTAATTTGAAGAGTTGGCCAGTACTACTAAAGTAAGTATCATATTTTCTTTCATCGGTCAATATTATATATCTTTATCATTGCCTTTGCCTTTATTCGTATGCAGATCGGCTTACCAATAGATTTGTCATTGAAGGTCCAAGATTGAAACTAAAACAGTGATAGTTTCCCTTGTCTTGGTTTATAAAGTCAGAACAATATACTCTCAAACACCCAGCTCTTCTTTGGTCGTTCTTTCTTACTGCTACCAAGATCGTGAAATCAGCAATTCTTTGTATTTAGTGTTTACCATATTTGAACGAACTCCCCCATTTTAGCAACAACTGTAGCCACCTCTAGACTTCCCCTAATATACTTATTCCTAATTTTATCCTTTTTTGTCACTACACTCATTCATCTAAGCATTCTTATTTCCGCCATATGCATTCGTAGTTCCTATTTTTAACTGCCCAACATTTAGTTCAGTACATTACAGCTGGTGTCATGGCTGTTTTATAGAATTTTGCCTTTACCTTCACTGGAATTGTACTGTCACTCACCATTCACCATATCCTTTCCCCCTAATTCTACTGCTTGTATTTCCCTGAAGTCTCTTGAAAAGTCAGGGTACTTTTTTTCAACAGCGAATTGTGAACTGCAAATCCAAGTTTAATTTAAGCTATTGAACGATGTTTATAAATACAATTCATTAATATACATTATATTATGATCAAATTGTGTAAGAAATCAAAACAAACAAAATTCTTACTCTAAAAAAGCGGCAATACTTTATACACTTTTGCCAATCGCTGAACTGTCAATAAAATTTGAAGTATTTCCGTATCAGATTGTGAACCGCAAATCCAAGTTTAATTTAAGCTATTGAACGATGTTAGGAATAACCTTTAATTCCGACAATATACCTACAATTTACTCTTGAAAAATAATATATTTTGCACTTTTTACATTAAAATGAAAATAGAAAACCTTTTTGGTTCTTTCGGAAATCTTATTGGACGTCTATGTGATATGCTTTACTCTTGTATATATCATCATTGTCAGTTTGAGACAGTTCCCATTGCCTCCCCACTTAACTTTCTTGTTGAGTTTGTAGTAGCTTAAACACTATTTTACTAGTTATATATATATATATATATATATATATTATATATATATATATATATATATATATATATATATATATATATATATATAGGTATATAGAAATTTTTTTACTTTCTTAATTATGGTTATTAAAAACTATTTTAATTTGAGTACAATGTCTTTTCCATATAAGTTTTTTTCCAAACGGATATTTGTACTTTATAGTTTTTTAAAGACATCTTATTTCTTTTTACTCCTAATAAAGCGCAGTGAAAAAATGAACTGGTGGATCCTGGGTTGGTGGTCCATTGGATTTTTGGTATCTGTGGCATGGAGCCAACCGGAAGAAGATCGAGTGCTTCATAAGTAAGTTAATTATTTTTAGTCTGGAATATCGTGCTAAAGCTGTATCCTTATAGCAATTTAGTATTAGTTACTATCTTTAATAACACAGAATTAGAATAAACAATTTAGAAATAACACAATAAAATACATCTGCGTCAACACTAACACCGTGTAGGCAATCCTCTTCTTCTTATGACTGCATTTATGCGTCGAGACATGCTTGATATCAAATGTTCAACAAATGCTTGCGGAATATTCTCCCATTCTTCAATAACAGCCTCAATGAATTGGTTGTAATTGGCAATAGGGGGTCTACGACTTTCAATTTTTTTTGAGATAGTCCCGTAGATGCTCTATAGGATTCATGTCCGGACTGTAGGTGGCCACTCTAATAATGGAATATCAACATCATTTAGGTAGCCAATAACCTGTCGAACCACATGAGGACGAGCGTTGTCTTGTATGAATAAAAAATTAGGTCCAAGAAACGGAGCAAAAGGCATTACATGTTCAACAATAATATTGTCTAAGTAATAATGGACATTCATAGACCTCGTACGTATGGGGACCAACTCTGTACGAGCTTCAAAACATATTCCCTCCCAAAACATTTTAGAGGCATCACCAAAAGGTAATTTAGGAGAGATATTGCAGCTGGCAAACCTTTCTCCTCGCCTTCGCCAGATACGCTCACAACCATCTGGAGCTTTTAGGCTTACTCTAGTCTCATCGGAGAAAAGAACTCGTTTCCAATTAACGATGGTCCAATTTTGATGCAATCTTGCAAAATTCAATCTCTGAACGCTGTGTTCTCTGGCAAGCAAGGGTTTTTTGGCCGGTTTCCTGTTGCTCAATTCTGCTTCATGTAAACGTTTTCTAACTATTTGAGACGATATCGCGACATTTCGAACATCTGCTAGTTAATTTTTTAGCAAATTGCTGGTGACTCTCCTATATTTCAGAGCACGTTGTCTCAAAAAACGATCATCAATTTGATTAGTGCAATGTTTTCGCCCTTGCCTTGCCCTGGTCTTCGATCATACGACCCTGTTTCATTATATTGCTTCACCTTGCGACTGATGCTGGAATGATGTCTTCCTTACAAATCTGCAATGTATCGCATTGCATATCCTTCATCTAGGCGAGTAGATGCTCTCATTGGCGGTTCATTTTTTTTATTTAATCATTCAGTTAATTTCATTTTTATGCAAATGAACTTCCAAACATGCATGTAATAAAAAATACCACAAGAAAAAGCTTGTTTCTCACAAGCACTTTGCTTTAATCGGCACATTTTATATAAAGTTTAACTCACTTTTAGCCTAAAACGAACTTTAATACAAATTATTGTTAAAACAAGACTATTAGTAGCTTACATAACAACTGTCACTGTCAAACAAGCTCCATAGGCAACTTGTCGTACAGTAAATTATCAACAAATAAAGATTATTGAGAAAAATCTCAATGGTACGTTAATTTTGTCCAGGAGTTTATGTCGGTGAAACTACATAAAACACGACTCATATCCCAATCGGCAGAGGAGTCCCAGAGGGTGATACCTTATTGCCTAAACTATTTACCGCAGTATTAGTAGTAGCAATGTTTGTAAAAAATGTAACTGGGAAGAGAAATGCCTGAATATTGATGGTAGGAGATTAACAGATTAACATGGTTTTGTTCACGGACAACCTCAAGGAGATATGTACAATGCTATATAAACTTCAGTTAGTGTGTGCCAATGTGGGTCTTAAAATAAACATCTCCAAAACAAAATGCATGACATATCTAGTACCTAGCGGAAATATCAATATTGGAGACAACGAAGTAGAGCTGGTGGAAAAATACATATATCTTGGACAAGAAATAAAGATCACAAGAGACAACCAAACATGCGAACTACGAAGACGAATAAACCTAGCATGGGCAGACTATGTAATACTGAAAGACATCTTTAAAAGCGATATACTAATTTCTTTAAATCGTAACATTTGACCAATGTGTGTTGCCTGTGATGACCTATGGTACCGAAACTTCGACATTGACAGCTACAACTAAATATATATCGCTTCGTGACCGAGTAAAAAATAAAGTTTTAAGACGAAGAACAGGAGTTATCGATGTAGTTTTGTAAAGTGCCACACTGGAATGAAACTGGGCCGGACACGACGCGCGAATCAACGATGAAAGGTTAACGAAGAGATGGCTTGAGTGGAAAATGACGTTAGACAAAAGAAGTAGAGAAAAACCACCTACTAGTTGGACTAAATATCTCAAGAGAATGTCAAGAAATTGGTTGAAAAGTGCTCAAGATAGAGCACAATGGACAAAAATGAGGGAAGCCTATGTCCAGCAGTTGAACGCGAAGGGCTGGATGATGCTACTTATTTTATTTTCAATGATTTAACATGTCTTCGCCAAAAATATAGCTCTAGTACTAATAGATACATTTTATATTTTTTACACGTCACATCAATATACATCAACATACAGTGATGAGTGCTTTACCACCCGGCTTTTTAAAGTAAGAGATAGAAAACACAGTGAAATAAAAAGAAACAATATTTTACCTTGTGAAATAAAAAAAAATGAAACTCGTAAAGGTGGGAAATAATCGATATAAACCTATAAATTACATTACATTACATTACCACCGTCGATAGTCTCACACCTTTAGACGTTATTATAGTATTAGAAGTGTTTAAAGTCGCTTTAAAACCCGGCAAAATAGCGGAAATGATAGAAGATGGATTTTGTGAGGAAGAATGAGATAAAACTAGTTCTCAGACGTGGCTATTTGACTTCAGTCATAATTATACGGATGACCGCGAAAATATTTTATTTTAATAATTTCTGATGTAAGAATAAATGATTGAATAAATTAAGAATTAAAGTAAAAAACATTAATTAGTAGCAATTTTAAATTATAAATCTTTAAGTTTATTTAATAATAAAAATAACTCAACTGAAATATTTGACTAAACTAAAGGTAGGTATGTTCTGTCCGAAAACAGTTACTGTATGTGGAGTTGGTGTAATACTTAGACACGTTGTCTATTGACTAGAAGATTGGGGTTCAATTCACACCAAGGATAAAATTTTTGTTTTACTCAATCAAAAAATAATAAAAAATATGATACATATTAGGTAACAAGTTTTCGACAAACTCATTATTTACAATTTATTCTTATTCCAATGTTATAAAATGGAAATACAAAATAAGTCAAATTCAAAAAGATATTTATGTTTAACTTTAAACACTTCTAATACTAGTAACGACTGACATTTCAAATTATTAAAATTTCAAATAATTTCAAATTATTAAAAAAAAGAAAACCACATGTGGGTTCTGAACTCTAATCGTCTGCGTCGCAGTGTTGAATTCTTACCACTAATCCACGAAGGACTGATATTTATTTCCGTGACAAGAGTGTATGAAACTCCTCAAATCATAGTAGAAATTATTCTTGGTTAATAATTTAAAACTTTAGATTATATAATCACTATTAATTAATTTATTTTATTCACATTTTTGCTTTATTGTGGTCAATCATTTTTCACTTTATGCGAATTTAAAAAATGTCACTGAAATACGTCGTACATACGACGTCACACATAATAATTATGACCGAGGTGATTTAGCTCGAAGCTAACGTCTAAAGGTGTGAGACTATCGATAGTGTTAATGCAATGTGATGTAAATTATAGGTTTCTATCGATTATTTCCCACCTCTACGAGTTTCAACTCTTTTTATTTCACAAGGTAACTGTCTTTTCTATCTCTTACGTTAAAAGGCCGGGTGGTAAAGCACTCACCACTGTATAATGTAATTTGCTTGATTTAATTTACATAATTATGTTAAAGAAATTGTCTCTTAGAGTATATAATTTCTTATTGGTTTTTCCCAGGACATCCGACTTCTCAAAAAAAGAGAATTTTGTAGCCGATAGATCTATGCCTCTTGGTCTTACTGATGACGAAATAAGTAAGTATTAAAAAACTTTGTTTTTAGTGAGACACTAAATTTATTTTGAAATAATCCAATGGAATTATTGTGGAAGTAAGCTTCAGAAATTGATTTGGATGTTTAAGCAAAACCAAAACAATAAAATGTTTAAAATCCAAGAAATGAATATTCAGCAGTATTGCAATGCTGAAAAATATATCATTGCTCTCTCCGTCACAGTGCAAATTGCAACTATAAGTGTTAACGTAACAGCAAACGCGGCACCAATTCTCCACCTTCCGCTGACGTTATTTATCCTATTCCTTTAATTCCCATAGGAGCCATTACTTATCCAGGGATCTGAACAGTAGATATCTCCGTTTTATCAACATTAAACACCTGATGGAGGCTGAAAATATGTCTAAGATTGTCATAGAATGCGTTGACAACCAGCTAAAACCCATGGCACGGGTTAAGAATGGAGCCTCTTGTCTACGCAATGAAATATCTTTGTGTCGTTTTAAAAAACTTTCAAAACAATCTTTCCCAGCATATTTATTATTTGGATACAACATAGGAACCGATTTAATTTTAGCTACATCCCAAGCTACTTGCTTTTCTTTACATATTTTTACAGGTCTAGTTAATGTTGTTAGTATTTAACATTACTAAATCTAGTCAGTGAAGCAAGTTATCGGAGAGGCCTAAAAATCAACATTTCAAAGACAAAGTGGATGGCAGTTGGAAAGATTAAGATAGATCCAGGTCTGATTTCTCTTAATGGAGAGGAGATCGAAAGGGTAAATCATCTCAAATACCTTACCAGCTGGTTAAATGTAAATTGTGACTCTGATGAAGATAATAACCAGGATCGAAATATCACGTAAGGCTTTTATGACCTGGAAACCAGTTTTATGCAACAGAAACCGGTCGATGAATATTCGTAAGAAAGTCCTGAAACGTTATGTGTGGTCCATCCTATTATATGGTTGTGAGACATGGACGTTAAAAACCACAATGCTAAACAAGTTAGAAGCATTCGAATTGTGGTGCTATAGACGAATGCTAAAGATATCGTGGGTTTCGCACACTTCCAATGAAGATGTTCTTCAAATGATCAATTCAGAACGTCTGCTCATAAACACCATAAAGAGGAGAAAAACAGAATACTTCGGCCATATAATTAGAGGACCCAAATACCATCTACTTCGCCTTATAATACAAGGAAAAGTGTAAGGAAAGAGATGGATTGGTCGAAAGAAACTTTCATGGCTGCGTAATATTAGACAATGGTGTGGTTCTACAGTAGAAGAATTATTTCGCGCAGCAGCCGACAGAGAAAGGTTTCAGGAAATTGTAAACGTGATGACGGCTAACGTCTGAATACGGACACGGCACCCAAAGAAGAAGAAGAAGTTAATATTGTTCCTGCAATAGGAAACTGAATTGCAGTACGTTTAATTAACCATCCGCCATAAAAAAAACAGTTCGCAATGTTGCCAGCATAGTTTCTTCGCTGGTAAGACCAATTTCCGTTTTCTTCTTTCCGTTTCTCACCATAATTTCCTTAAAGAGTTTTAATAAAACTGTAATTTTTTAATAGGGTTACAGTGGTCACTATTCGCACAATAAGAAAGTAGTGACCACTGTACAAATTTTTGTAATGACCACTAAGCTCCAAAGAGAAGAAGAAGAAAATAATGAAAAGCGAGACGGTAACTAAAGCCGACGAACGACAAAAATTAAATAAAGAAATATCCAAAGCTGTTAGACAATACACTTGAAAATACAACCAAGAACAAATCGAACAATATCGATAACAATATACACAAATCGATTGAGAACAATAGAAGTATGAAAGTATTAAGAAAAAGAACGGGGACAAGGCAGATAATGAAGATTAAAGATAGAAATGGTCATCTTACAACCAACAGAGAGGAAACCCTTAAAATAGTTGAAGACTTCTACAAATTGCTGTACAGAAGCCAACACAAAGCAAACAGCAGAGAATATCAAGTACCAGAAATATTAACAAGAAAAACGGGCATTGCAGCCAAGGATCAGAACTACTACCGAAAATCACAATAGAGGAAATAAAACTAGCCCTAGGAAAAGCTAAGAATAACAAATCTTCAGGCAAAGATTGTGTAGTTACTGATGCAATCAAGATTGGAGGCACTTGCCTACTTACGAAAATAAAAAACCTTTTTAAAATGTGCCTTTTGGGCAGTAATATACCCGATAAACGGCACAATGCTGAGGTAATTCTATTGTACAAAAAAGAAAATCTCCATGAATTAGAAAACAACAGACCTATAAGTCTTCTTAGTCACATATACAAACTCCTTACAAGAATTGTAACGACAATATTTTGCTTACCTCAGGGTAAGAACATGAGGGGTAGAAGATTGGGCAAACAAAATAATCGAAACAAGTGCGAACGACACTCAGTTGGTTGTTGGAGAGCTGGGTCGTGGATAAGTTGAAATATGGGGGTTGGATTGGGGTATCTACTAAAATGAAAACAAAGGGATACTTACATAAATCTCCTGGGCAATTGATATAACAAACAAATCAAAAATAGACTGGGAACACCTCAAGGAATTTAATATAGGGCGCCACTTGAAGGATCCTAGTTTACTGAAAGAAAGGAAAAATTCTTCTTCCCTAATATCTAAAATACATAAAAAGGGTTTAGGAGATTTTTCTAAATAAAAATAAAAAAAATTTTATGGATATCCTTTTGTGAAAAATAAAATTTAATCTTTACTATAAAATCAAAATATCTTTTACAACAGATTCAAAATCAAACTGTCAAAACAAACATTTTTAAGACAGGATAAAATTATGACCGATGACAGTTTAAACCACGCCCTAACATAATATTTATTTTAATTACAATTTCTTATTTAAATAATTTATAAAAGAAAGCAAATTTTGTCTTTTTAAAAGGAAATGTCTATTTTTACTTTAAAAATTAATAACGTAAATGTTAACTTAGTTCACACATGTTAACTTAAACTTTTGAACAACTGTCTAATATCTGTGGGGTATCTAGCTGAACATCATGAACGGAAAGCTTTATTGGAGGCTGAAACTGAAACTGAAAACGAAAAGAAACCAGGAACTAAACTTGTTCACTTCTCAAACATTATAAATCTTCAGCAAAATCAAAACAGTGGTTAGTGGTCACTCTTTCAAATACGACATATTACATAGAGTGAAAATTCCACCATTTTTGGCGAATTAATGCCAGGTTACCACATCACAATTAAACGACCTTTCCCTTCGAGCAATTCTTCATCACTGCCTCTCTTGACCTTCTCGATCTCAACCTGCCGGATAGATACCGCCTCTCTTTTCCCCGCACAAGCATTGCTATCTTGTCAAATCAACAAATTCTTTACTCAAACTCGTCCAAACTTCCGGCGTTATTACGCTTTAGAAAAAAGAATATTAGGCTTGCAATATTTTTCTGGGAACGTTGAAGTTAAAAAGCCATAAATTGTTTTCTTTAGCAAATACGTCTTTATTTATTGAAGAATTATTGCGTATTTAAAAATCTCTACAGACAACACATTTCTAGCATACCAGGGGCGTACTATGACAAATATAGAATCGAATTTATATTATTATTTAGACATTAAATATAAAACGCTACAGAATAGTAACGAATCATCTTGGAAAAATGCATATACCTTGGACATGAAATAAAGATCACAAGAGGCAACCGAACATGTGAACTATGAAGAAAAATAAACCTAGCATGGGCAGCCTATGGAAAACACAAACATATCTTTAAAAGCGATATACCACTACACGTTGGACTGACGATCTCAAGAAAATGTCAAGAAATTGGATGAAAAGTAATTAAGATTGTGATAGGCACATTGGACAAAAATGAGGGAGGCCTATGTCCAGCAGTCGACGCAAGGGGCTGGATGATGATGATATTATAAAAAGGTTATTTTTTATGTTTTTATGGGAGAGTAGAATATTAATACATGCAGAAATCAACTACATAAATAAAATAAATTTACGTTAATCTTATCCGTCAGAAATTTTAAAAATTTTGGAGACCGAAAAGATACATGGCACTCACAAATTTGTGGTTAGGATTTTTATCGTAAATCTGTTTTACATACTTCGCATTGTAAACTCCATTACTTAACCTTATTTTTGCCTTTCTCTACTAGGTAGCTATAGTGGTAACGCATTCCATTTAACCACTGTACCTTTATCTCCACTGTACCTGAAAAATGTCCTCGATACGGACTGTACCCTGAAAACCCATTTTAAATTTTGGGATTATAGAATTAGAATATAAAAACGTTTTTTTTTGTTTATTTATTTCAACTAGTACACCTAAATTATGTAAAAATATTGATGTAGTTGACTTTTTTAATCTATAATGCGCCACTTAACTTTCAGAAACCATACAAAGAGAATTTGCCAAACTGATGGGTCTACATCACTATAAAGAAATAGATCCAGAGACATTCAGAGCTCTTTTCAAATCGGTGTTGGATGCAAGAAATCCGACACCCTAATAGGGTAAAATGAAGGGAAGAAAGAACGAAAAAGATGCTAGAAACAATACATATTAAACTTTGATAAAACAGGTCAAAAATAAATAGTAAAAAGCAAAGAAACTGTTTTTATTTTTTATTTATGAACGATGTTACTTGTTTATTTACTATATTTCTTAATAAAACTAAAAATGCATTGTTGAAAATCTAAGATATGAGCACTCAATAGTATTTAAACACAGCAAAAGCACAAATTCGTCTACCTATTAATTCATTTATAAAATAACTAAAAATTATTTGAGCTTTTATATAATATGAAATAATTGTTCCTAAAGAGAATTCATAAGAGAATCTACAAGCTGTGTGAAAGTCAAATTTCCCCCAACCAGTTCGGGTTCACAAATGCTGTTGGTACTAAAGAGGCTTTGTTCTCAGTACAAGTCTTATTCCAGAGATGCAGAGACGTCAACTGCGACGTATACGCATGTCTGTTTGATTAGGAGAAAGCGTTTGATCGAATACAGTACGCCAAGATGATACAAATACTAAAATAAGCAGGAATTTACAACCAAGATCTAACAATAATTAGAAATCTTTACTAGAATCAGACAGCAAACCTCAGAGTTGAAGGTGAATACACTGTATATATGAAGATCATGCGTGTGGACTTTGAACTAAGATATGTGCAGAAAACTGGAAGCATTTGAGATGTGGCTATATACAAGAATACTTAAGATCCCGTGAACTGACCTAGTCACAAATGAGGAGGTCCTCAGAAGAATGAATAAGAATCAAGAGATACTGACCTCCATCAAATCTCGAAAGTGACAATTCTTTGGACATATAATGCGAAATGAATCCAGATTTGCTTTCCATCAAGCCATCCTGGAAGAAAAAATATTTAGAAAACAAGGTTCAGGGAGAAAAATAACATCTTAGTTGAAGAACCTCGGAATCTGGTTCAATACAACATATATGTGCAGCTTTTCCGCGCTACTGCAGATAAGATTAATATTGCCATGATGATCGCCAATATTCGTAACGGGTAGTCACATCAAGAAGAAGAATGTAATAATAATCCCCAACGAAATATAAACCAGTTAAGAATTGCCTAATAAAATACTGCCTCGATTGCTGCAGTAATTTGAATAAACCAATAATATGAGTACCTGCATAATATGTTCTGATTATACAATACACTAAATCCTCTTAAGATAATATAATGATCTTAATTACTTTATAAGTGATAGAAAATTAAAGGGCAACGGTCCATGGTTCAATATTTGGTCAATGGTCAAGGGAAGCTAAACATACTCACGTTAAATGCTTGCAACCACCGATATTGTATAAAAACAAAAGTGACAAAGTGAAAATTGGAACCTGAAATGCAAAATCTGTCTTACCAAAAAAATCTCATAGCATTGTGATAGAAATAAGAAGAGTTAGAGATTCAATTTTCTGTGAGTCAATGAAGTAGATGGCCTGGATCTGGACAGATAAACATTGATAAGCATAAGATGTATTATGTTGAAAATGACCGTCCCCATCATCATAACGGAGTGGCATTTATAGTTGACAAAAATAGCAAGAAACTGGGTAAAGACTTATTTCTGATGGAGTAGCTATGCTGCAAATCAATCTCACTCAGAAAAATATTAACTTTATTCAAGTATATGCTCCTAAAGGATAAAAATCAGATTGATATATACGAGTATTGTACCAAGAGATCTAACATCTAATAAATATAACAAAGAAAAATTATGTAAACATTATGATGGGTATTTTAAGGGCCAAAAAAATTAGAGAGGGGGAATACTAGTTCAATTTTGCCAAGAAGAGAACCTAATTGTTGCAAACACTTCATTTCAACCATCAAAAAGATGAAGAAAAGCACCTAAAGATAATTAAAACATCTTAATAAGAAACCAGATTGATTATATACTAATTGAAAAGCGTTATACTAATGGAGTCAGAGCTAAAATATATTCCGGGGCTTACAACGGATTCGACCACAATCTTGTTGGCGTTAAAATTCCAAATAACTGGAGAAAATTAAACACAAAGAGAAGATAAAACCTAGCCTCGAAAAACTTAAAGGTCCAGCAGTACAGGCAGGGATAGAGAAAATATTAATGATACACCCAAAGAAAAATTCAGTGAAGCACCGACAATAGCAGAAGAATTAGTAGAAAATGTTTGGCACACCTTTAAAACAACAATCACAATCAAACAAACAGATAAACTATAAGGAAATACAAAGGATACAGGGACGACGGAAGAGATCCTAGAGCTGATGGGCAAACGAAAATCTTACAAAAATTAAAATGAAGTAAAATATAAAAAAAAACTCAGAAAATGAAGCTTATCGATGAATAAAATATTTAGTATACAACACTATTACTGAACAAAATATATACCAATGAAATCTTCCCAGAAGGCTAGATTAGATCGACATTTATAGCTATACTCAAAAAAAATAAAACAATGAATTCTCTTAGTTCAAGATAATAATTAGAATAATGATCCACGTTTTGAAAATTCTACTCAGAGTTGTATACCAACATATATGTACATATAAAATGCGAGAAAATCTTAAGCGACAATTAATTTAAATTTCGTGTGGGGTTTAGTACGGGGTAGGCATTGTTTAACATCGAGATATTCCTACCAAAATGCCGAAATCAGCGAAAATGTGTTTCTCTGTTTTATCGACAACGAAAAATCATCCGATCGAGATAGCTAACAAAAGAAATGTAAAAGAAAACAGGAGTTATGCCATAGATTTTCTCCACTAATATTTAATATATATTCTAAAAAGATCTTTTAAAATGTCCTTTAAAAAAATATATAAAGGGAATCAACATCAACGGATAAAAGTAAAATAACTTAAGAATCACTTCACTGCGGACAGTGCTGAGGGTTTGTAAATATTTTTGAATATCGTAATCAGAGAAGGAGATACTTTAATGCCGAAAATAAATATAAATAAAACAAAAGTATTGGCTGTTACAAGTACATCAAATCATCAACATCTTCGGCTTGACAATCCTCTGTGGATCCTGGCCTGCTCTAAGATTCATCACCATTCTGTTCGGTTTCTAAAGACGTGTTGCCATCTTCTGATCTTTAATATCCGCAAGTCGGTCTCAACTCCATCTAACCACCTAATTTGAGGTAGGTCTCTGCTTCTTCTTTATATAGGTGTTAGATTTTTAGCAATTATATTCTCAGGTATTCGTATTGTGTGTCAAGCCTATCCAAATCTCTGTGTTTTATTGAACGTTATGACATTTGATTCATTAAAGAGTTAATATAATTCGAAAATAAATTTTTTGCGAAACTGTCCTTGATCGTTTATAGCTCCAAATATTTTGCGGAGTATCTAACGCTCGAATATTCCCAAAATATTTCATTCTTTTGTGTTAGAGTCCACATTTTGAGTTGAGTCCACATCCATGAAAAAACAATGTTCTATCCACCCTTTTTCATTATGCTCAACCCATACGCCAGGTACGAGGCAATCCAAAAACCCCTGCTGCATTCGCTCTCGGGAAAATATTAGCATGGGAGGCATATAGCCTTTTCAGGCAGAGAAACATATTTCTACAGTTATATTTTCACCCCTTTCGGCGGATGCTAGCTCGCCAACTTAGCGCTTTCCTTTTGAAGCTGATTTTAGAATTCCCTTTTGGATTGACCGTAACTCCTATTTCGTCTACATTAAAAATTTTTTGCTGTTAATTTATATTCCTGAACAATTTCTTTTAACAGTTCAAAAAACTGTTGAAAAGCCACTTTTTTAAATCCCATCGCACGGGCACCACACGTAGTCTCGGGCTTTCTGATAGACAACTCTTTATGCCCATTTAGAAATCCCCGCATCCATCCCTATCCAGCCATTTTGTGATTTTTGTTAAAGGGGTGCTCAATCCTATTTTTATCAGCAAGATCAAATGCAAGTTGAATACATTCTTCCATGGTCAAGCCAAACAATATTGCTTCCATATCTTTAAGATAAGTAACAAGTTCTACTTCTTGTTCGGTAGTAAAAACAGGCCTTTTAGCGGCTAAAACTTTTGCAACAGAATAAATTACATTATTTCGTTGTTTTTTTGACATGACTTCCTAAAGTTGTCTGAGGAACAGCAAATGCAATTGATGCTCGGTAGTAATCCATCTCACCAGTTACTACAGCATTTACTACGGCATGTTGCATACTCTCTGTTGACCACTTTTGACGATCAGTTTTCCTTTTGTAGGTAAACACCATCTGGAACAAAACCTAAGATTTTTTTTGGAAACTTGCATAACATAAGATATTAGTTTTATAATAAAATAAATAGGTCATAATGTTAATATCTACTCATGGAGTAAAAAGGGGTACCAATAGATAGGGTAAAATGGGGTACTCTTTTACCTTACCTATTAGCAACCCATTTTATCCAATGAGCCGATTTTGAGATTATGACCTGTTTAAATTATTACAAGTATTTCATTTTTAACACAATAACAAAGATATTCTCAAGAACACATTCACTGTTAATTGGAAATAAAGCTATTTAATAATACATTGCTTTAGTTACACTTACGATGGATTATTTTTCGGCCGATATTATTAATTGATTAACTAAAAACGCACATATACTGTTCACAAGAATCGAGTAACAACTAATGATATCTGCTTTATGACATTTGTAGGCATCTATAATATAATTTAGGCATCTATAATACAATTTTATTAACGTCGTATAGATGGAGCAAGTGATATTGAAAAACGGGTTACCCGTTACCCCATTTTTCTTGCTTTGCCTCTATATTTATAAAAGTTTATTTTTTCAATAAAATTTAGAAAAAGCGTTATTAATTTTATAACACTTCACTTAACTTTTAGAAACGATACAAAAACTTTTTGCCAAACGAGTGGGTCTAGATCACTATAAGGAAATAGATGCAGCGACCTTCAGAAGTCTTTTAGAAAATGTGTTCGTCACTCAAGAAAGGGGACTGCTAAGTATTATTAAAAATAACGCTTATTGTGGACTGTGCAAACTACTCATTTTAAAAATTCAATCGTCTGGACTTACTAAAAAAGTAGCCGAATTCATATGTAATACGTACAATCTAGAGGCTACATTGAATTCTACTGGATTCTGTAAACACGTTGTAGACCTTAATATGGTAAGTTTCATAGATTCTGCTTTACACCAACAATAAAAATAACTCATAATTAAATTTCTCGCACCATTGCTTATTTGTGTCTTTAAATTGCTGCGGACACTAAATCCATTCACCAATCTTACAATTTGAGGTGTAGTGTGTGTGTGTGTGTGTGTGTGTGTGTGTGTGTGTGTGTGTGTGTGTGTGTGTGTGTGTAGAGTAATTGACTTGATACTTAGCAAAGTCGACGTCATTTTCTTTGTTAAGAGACGCTAATTATATCCGAACGTCTGCGGTCCCTCCGGTGAGTACCGATCGCACAAGGATAGAAATTATTTTCATTCATTAATTTTTAATAAACGTGTGTGTGTGTGTGTGTGTGTGTGTGTGTGTGTGTGTGTGTGTAGAGTAATTGACTTGATACTTAGCAAAGTCGACGTCATTTTCTTTGTTAAGAGACGCTAATTATATCCGAACGTCTGCGGTCCCTCCGGTGAGTACCGATCGCACAAGGATAGAAATTATTTTCATTCATTAATTTTTAATAAACGAAAATTTCTTCACCCAGGTGAGATTCGAAATTACGACCTTTAGGTTCAAAGGTAGGCGCTCTTATCACTGAGCCACAGAGGGGATGATATGTTGATAAACGATAATTCAAAAGATAGAAACATTAATAACCTTCCTGCAATAATTCCTAAAATTTCTGCAACCTCCTTTTTTCTTTTGTTACCTGATTCGTGAGTTTCAGTCACAGTTTTATTTGGCAGCACTCTCAATTGCTGTATTTTTTTGAGAAACAGCTGTAATATCCAGGCTTTGAGATAGTGTACCTCGACCAATACTTTGAAAAGTGTAATTAAACTAGTCTTCCCTTTCACTTCCGGTATCATCTCTGTCAGAATCATTTCCGTCATTTGGATACGTGAGATTCGTTACACTTGTCAATCTTCTTAGCCAAAGTATCATCATCTTCTAAATTCTTGTATATTTTTAACCATTCCTCTGCATCTTTGGGATTATTAGGATCATATTTGTTCGTCATTTTTTCTAAAACAGAAACAATTTATGTGGTTTCGTTCTAGTTTCTATGTTTCGCTCGCTTTTATGATTGCAAAAAAGGCCTTGATGTAATCGTGTATATTTTTTTAGAGTTCAGCTAGGATGTTGTGTCTAATTAGTTTTGGCAGATTTTATTGCATGACAAACTTCAGATTTTAAAATTGCAGGTACTTCTTGATGTATATTGCCCTGTATTATTGATTTGAAATGTTTTCACTGTACAGCACTGTGTTTACGCTGTGTTTTCTACAGTGCCTCTAAAGTTTTAGCAGCTGGATATTTCTACTGCGAGAGACTCGAATCTTGATACTTGTTTGATTATTTTGAAAACATATATATATATATATATATATATATATATATATATATATATATATATATATATATATATACATATACATATATATATTACAGGATCCAATTTGTAAATAGAATACATCTTGGAGACGGCTATCGCCGTATTCCCGTCCTCCTCCATCAATCCTCTCGGTCCAAGGCATGCTCCTCCTCCAAACCTCTCGATTCCATTGCTCTTCTAATACCTTCATTCCATGAGCGTCGAGGTCTACCTCTTTTTCTTCTACCAGGGGGCTTCCATCTGTGAAGTTTTTGGGGCCAACGTTCGTCATGCATTCTTAACAGGTGTCCAAACCATTTTAAACCTCTTCTTTCTATTCTGTCTATGACCGCATCTGTAGCATTCATCTGATTTCTTATAGATTCGTTGGTTTTCTTTTCCAGCCTTGATGTTCTAGTACTTCTTCTCAAATAATCCATTTCAACTGCCAACAATCTTCTTTTCAGGTCTGCATTAATTGTCCATACTTCAGAGCCATAACAAAGAACTAATTCAACCATCGTTTGCCCTATTCTTTTTTTGTTCCTTTTGGAAATGTTGCGATCCCACCATAAGGAGTTCAAACATCCTACAATTTTACGTCCCTGATTAATTTGGTGTTTAATTTCGGTTTCACCCAAGCCGTTCTTATCAATGAATGCACCTAAATATTTAAATTTTTCCACTTGTGTGATTTCCACGTCCTCGTCTATCAACACTTCAAACCTTGCATCTGAATGATAACTAGATATTCCGTTTTCTTCATGCTGACTTTTAACCCCCATTTTACATATTCTCTGTATAGACGCTTTATCATAAATTCTAGATCATAAGAATCTTGAGTTAGAACGACTTGGTCATCCGCAAAGTTCAAGGAGAACAGTACGTCATTTCCTATTGGGATTCCCATTCCCTGGCAGTGGTTTTTCCAATTTTGAAGGGTTGCCTCAATATATAAATTAAACAGTAAAGGTGACATACTGCATCCTTGTCTCAGTCCTTTAGTTACTTTTATCGGCTCTGATAGTCTATTTCCGATTTTTAGGTAAGTGGTGTTATCCCTGTATACTTCTGTGATTATTCCTAAAAGGTGTGGACTAATGCCGAGTTGTTGTAAAGCTTGCCACAATTTAGGCCTTGGTACTGTATCATACGCTTTTTCTAGATCGATGAAGGCTAGATGTACTTCGTTACCAACCGCTATTCTTTTTTCTATTAATTGTTGGAGTATAAACAAGTTATCAGTGCAAGATCTACCAGGCGTAAATCCGCTTTGGTCTTCGCTAATTAGATGTTCTACATCATCTTGTATTTTTCTATTTATTATCTTTCCAAACAATCTGCCGAAAGTAGGTAGGACACTCAATCCTCTGTAGCAGTTAGGATCTTTTCGATTACCCTTTTTAAAGATGGACACTTGGTGAGCGGTTTTCCATTCAGATGGTATTTTAATTTGTTGGCAGCATTGATTCATTAGAAAAGTTATTCGTTCGATTAGGAGTGGACCTCCTGCTTTAAGTAGCTCTACAGCTATATTGCCAGGTCCTGAAGATCGCCCGTTTTTCATTTTAATTAGCGCAGTATGGACCTCGTTGCTGGTAGTATTAAAGTTACTATTTGTTTGTCTCTCCATACTGTATTCTTCTCCCATATATTCCAATCTGGACTCTTGGAGTAAATTTTTATAGTGATTTTCCCATTTTTCTATAGAAATTAAGTTGCTTAATGAGTTATGGGTGTTCTTCTTTAGATTAGTGATAGTTCTCTATGCTTCCGTTGTCTGAGAACCACCCATTAAATTTTCAACTTGGACACATTTTTGTTCCCAGAAATTGTTTTTTTGCTTCTTTTATTTGCTGGCGTACTTCTCCGTTTTTCATTTGATATGATACTCTATTGTTAGACGTTTTATTTGTTAGCCATTTTTTATATAATTTGTTCTTTTCTTGTATCATTTCTTTTACGTTTTCTGTCATCCATGGTGGTTCGTGGTGTTTTTTGTCGTTGTTCTCTGTTCCTAATACTTTATAAGCAATTTTTTTTATTATCATTTTGAGTTTATTGTATTCTTGTTCTACATCCATATTTCTTTCCATCTCATTTAGTTCCCTTTCTAATCTACATTGAAAAAGATGTTTAATACTTGGTTGGAATAAAAGATGCAATTTATATCTCTCCGTTTTGTACTGCGTAGTATTGTTTCTCTGACTTTCGGTGTTATGTTTGTTGTTTTGTTTAAAGGGGCACAAAATATTAGCTAAAAGAAAGTAATGGTCTGTCCCACAGTTAGACCCTCTTTTTACTCTGCAGTCTTGGCACTTAAATTTTGAGTTCTGTCTCATTATTATATAGTCTATGCTCGACTTCTGTTGGAGTGAAGGTCGTTCCCAAGTGTATTTATCTTTATGTGGGAATTGGGTGTTCATTATTTTTTAACCAAAAAGTTGACAGAACTCAATTAAACTGTCCCCTGGACTATTTTTAACCATTTCTCTGTATCGTCCCACCACTTCATCGTCTATTTGAGAACCTACTCTGGCATTTAGGTCTCCTAACAATATTATTTCTCATATATATATATATATATATATATATATATATATATATATATATATTATTTTGAAAACAATCGAACTAATTTTGCATTTTGCTTATCTTAAAGCAAATTTAGTTTTTGTTAAATTTTCTACAACTTTTTCTGTCCAATGTCGAAAAAAGTCTTGTTTCTTTATATTTCCTTTTTTTACCACTATAGAGTCATTCGAGAAATAGTTAGTTTTATTAATTACTGTATTATATCTTCTTTTATTTGTAGCCTGTCCTGGAGTACGTAGTCAACAATAGTAAAATCTTGGATCCAGAATTGGCCTGTACGATCCTTCTACAAACACGAGACTGCTACTATCCTAATCCAGCACTTTCTTGGGTTGCAGATATACCCCAATCAACACCCGTTTATCCAAATGTAAGTAATGTCGATAAATAAAAAGGGAATTCAATTGTAGCATTATAATAATAAAAGCATTGCATTTTTATAAGTAAGATACTATCGATCATATGAAAAATAATAACAGAAATACGAATGACTTGTTATAATTTTATAACCAAATTAAATGCTACTTTTATGACTTTAAAACAGCCTACGATAAAATAACACAAAGTCAAATGTTTCAAGTAAAGGAATTATAAAGACAATTATAAAATACACATAAAGATACCATTTTTAAAAAGAATTACCATTGTTAAGCTTTTGATCTAAAAATATTAATTTGGATTGTTATTAACATAACTATAAATCATAAACAGTCCCAGATTATGAGACACGCCCTAGAAATTTCAGTTATTTTAATTTCAAAGGCCTTAAAAGTTTATTCCCAGTGATACAGAGCTGCTAAATGGGTTGCATAACAAATCTCTCTCTCTCTTTCTCTCTCGCCCTCTCTCTCACTCTCTTACCTATCTTTGCTGTAGATTCCTCTCTAATATCTCTTTTTTCTGACAATTTGAGTTACTGCCTCCAATATTGCCTTGTACTCAGTCTTTCCTCTCATTGCTACCTGCATTATGGTATTTGTACTTACCCTACCTAGCTTTCTGTATAATTTGTTTCTGTCCTCATCAAATCTTCTGCACTCGAATACACAGTGCTCGGCCGTGTCAGCCACTCCACAGTGCAGTTTTCATCCGCAACTTTCCCTATCCTTTCTAGATAGGCCCTGAAGGAGCCGTGTCCTGTTAGGAACTGGGTGAAAAAGTAATTGGTGTCTCTGTCCCCGCACTTCATCCAGTCTGCGATATTTGGAATTAATACCCTCGTCCAGGCCGCTCTATACTCATTTGTCCATTCTTCCTGCCATTCCGTTAGGCTGCTATTCCTAGCTATTATTTTCTCCCGCTCATCCTTTCCGTAGGTTTCTGCCCTTTCCTTCACCATCAAGTGGATGAGTAACACACCAGCGATCACTTGTATGGCCAGCTGAAACGAATAAAACGTGTGACTTGACAAAGTTCAGAAGAACTGAAAGAGAAGGAAGGAAAATATTAAAAATATGGCTAAGCTCAGAGGAACAAAGTTAAACGGCCAAAGAGACACTAAATCTCAAGTGAGTGTTCGGGCTAGCTTCGATGCACTGGATTGCGGCTTTAAAGATACAACAGATAACAAGGATAATGAGCTAATGAGACAAGAAACGAAATGAGACCTGACAATGTCAAACGTGATATAACTAAAGAAGGTCACTGGGAATAAATTTATAGAAAGAGAACACTAAGAAGAGAAAAGAAGGGCGCCAACTCAACGATAGTTGAGATTTTGAAGTAACAAATAAATCTGGAGATAGTAATCTGAAATACAAAAAAAAACTAAATAATAATCTTGTTTTGCTATGTTATATACTGGTTAGTAGAACTGAAATAAAACTCAAAATAGTAACAACAAATATATTTATAAAAAGAATGTATATAGATACATGTGTATAACCAATTTACATATAATGCAAAGCTAAATATACAGTGGTAGTGGGTATAAAGATAAAATGGGACCTAATAGCCCCTCCACAAGCAAATAGTCACTACCACTGGCCAAATAAAAGGTAAATATTAGTATCAACAAGAATAGTCCGTTAGGGTAGCCGAAGTCTTAACACTAAGGTTAGTAATCTAAATTTAAATAGTTCTACTAAACTGATAAACTAATCAACGTATTGTACAGGTATCAACAGTGATAACTCTGTTACAATTATCTTAAAAGTGAGTTTTCAATACTCCTTATCTATTTATTTTAAAGTCCACATAAAATTTATTTCCCTCCCCAAAATATTTTAATATTATTACATCAAAGTATGTATTGTATTATAACATGAAATCCAAGAAAATGAGTTATGGTCAAACTCACTAAATTCTTTAGTTAACCTAATAACCTATAAAAGGTATTTTCCCTCATCCCCAATATTTTAGAATTAGATTATGTCAAAAAAATGTATTTTATCAAAATTGTAATCTCCTAGTCATATTTAAAAAGTGTACACGATTTAAATAGAAAGTAACACAAAAACCAAATAGTTAAAACAACTTATCTTGGCAACAATAAGTCCCTAGGAAAACTCCTCTGGGCAAAACAAAACTAATTCATGGTTGTAAGATAAGTCCTAGGCACAAAACCAGTCACTGGTCTCTGGGTGACAGCAACATCCACAATCCACGGCAACTATTTAAAGAAGTGAATAACTAACATCCTTGAGGGAATATTTTCAAGTTAATATTCTTAGATGAATATTTTTAAGTGATAAATATTTTCAGTGACGGAATCTAAAAGGATTAATTAATTTAATAAATGTAATTCAATAGCTGTAGCAGCATGGATTCACTTTACCAAAACAAAACATCAAACATCAGGTTAGATATATTTGTCATGTCAAAATTCCCGAAGTTATTTCCCAGCATGATAGGAAATGAACATGCGCAGAATATAATAGCTGTCCAATAATTGTAGGACCTATTATATTCCACCAAAAAAAGTTAGATAAAAATTGAACCAAAAAACTTAATGATAACGACGTGGAATTTAAGTTTGACTATATAAAAAATGACCTTCTGTTCTTTGCAAGTAAATCAAGGAAATTTTATAGTTAAATTATTTCGGAACTCAAAAATAAGTCTCTAAAGAAATATTAAACTGCAAGGATAGATTTTATTGTATAATAAAAGATAATACGTATAAAATAATGTACTTACTGGAACTTGCAACACGCCAAAAAAAAATATCCTTATTATGTGGAACTCTTACATTAGAAAATCTTGATTTTTAAAATTTACTTCTTATTATTAGTATTACTGAGATATTATTAACGAATTAGATATTATTTTATTCGTCCCAGATTATTTTTCTGTTCCAATTCCGTCACTTTAAATTAGCTGACGTGCTGCGTGAGTTTCTTGACCAAACTGCCGGTTGGCTTCGGCACAAACTCCTTCCAGCCTTCCAAAAAGCGAAACCTGCGCGTATAGGTGGTTTGAATCGACCGCTGGCGGGTCATAAGAAATTTCGTGAGGGGTTTCTATTAATACAATTTTAAATTGTATTATTGGTAATTAGTAGCGTAAACGCTACATTCTCCCTCATCTCCAGCAAAAAAAAAAAAAAAAAGGAACTTTTTTTTTTTTTTTCTCTCTTTTGTGACAGAACGATCTAACGCTGGGTCAGTAAGGAACGTTGATACGTTCAAATTGAACATTTTCCTCACCAGTCAACCATTTGCTCAGGAATTGGAACAAAATCAAGGACGAAATAAAAATATGGAACGAAGAATATGAGACGAAGTCATACATTTTTTTTCCTGTTAATGAGATAATGTATGTTAATTTAGTATAAACCAAAGATAAAAAAAAGTATACATTTTGAGTTTAATTATATAACCTTACAGATCAAGTTAACTTTTAACACTACTTATCTACATTCTCAAGTATTAGTAAAAACAACTATCGTTAAAACTACATTATAAGTGTGTATTAACAACCCCTAACAAAATATTCCCAAGAACCATTCATAACAACGAAATTCAAACAAAGTCCTATGAACTTTACCCAGCGTTGACACTAGAGCGACCAGATTCTATTCGTCACCATAGAGTTCAATGAGGGCCTAATTATTCAGGACTAGTTGAAACTACAAACCTAAACATATATATGGTTCGGGATATCAACATCATATTGAAAATTCAAGGTAAAAGATAATTCAATACACCTACTTGCTTTAGCAGCGGTAGGAAAACACACAATCGGTAAAGGCACAAGTAAGCCTAGATACTAGCAAGCCCACTATACTCATGGTATAGGGTATGCTAAAAAAAAGGTAAGTAAGATAACTGCAATCCCAACTCATAGTAAAGGATATGCACTAAAGGTAAAAGATAATTGCAAGTCCATATCTACTCATGGTAGAGGATATGCACAAAACTCACTTCTACCAACTATACACTTGGTAGAAGGAAAGATAAAAGAGATCCTAACTGTAATACCCAAACTGTACTATTGACGTGGTCCAATTCTTTACTCACGACAAGAACAGTAAAGGACAGATTTTTAGGACTCTATAATCAGGATAAAGATAAGATATATATTCATAAGATATAGATAAGAAATAAACTTATCCAGGTAAAGGTAACTAATTTAAGGTAAAGATATGAGTTAAACCAATTAAGGTAAAGGTACGAGATAAACTCAATTAAGGTAAAGATAAAGATACGCTCAAGGTAAAGATACGAGATAAACTCAGTCAAGGTACGAGATAAACTCAAGGTAAAGGTACGAGATAAACTCTACTACAGGTATGAGATAAACTCCATCAAGGTACAGATAAACTCAATTTAGGTACAGATAAAGGTAACTCACATCTACCAATCCATATGACTAGTAGAGAGACAGGTAAACCAACTTGTATATAATAAGATATGTTAAAACTCAAATACTTTCGAAGATAATAGCATAGGAGATTACCTCCAAGTTAAACAGACTTACTCACTGCTGAATATCGGAACGATCCAATTCTAAATGACACATTCTAATTTCAACCTAAGAGACACTCAAAGAACAACTAATATGTATTGATATTATTTCTGAGTCAAGTGAGGGCACACATCCAGGGTGATCAATCCTGAACCCACGCTAAAACACCGACCCAGTAAGTAAATATGAATGCATAAGCTTTATGGCCATGGTCCACAAAACCATACAATACTATTTAAGAAAATATTTGTAATGTTTTCCGAATTATCCCTGTAAATATCTATTCAACTCAGAACTCAAGATGGGGAAATTCCCATATATCCATCCTGTACTCCTATGATATGCAGTTGGACTTTTAAGAGAAAACAAACAACAAAATTAACAAATCCATAAACTAAGATAATAACTAACATTAAGATAAGATAAAAAAAAATAGAAGGCAAAATAGCACAACATCTAATT